CGACAGCTTCGGCATAGTGCCCACCATGGAGCGGCTGTACCACCGGGGCGTGATGAGAACCAAGTGCGACGACTGTCAGTTCGTTTGCATCACGCAGACGGACTACTACAGAATACTCCACCAGGGAGAGGAGAACACCAAAAGACACGAAGACGACGGAGGCAAATTGGTCATGGTCACCGAACAAAGGGGCACGCTGGAAGCCGGCAGACGGGGTCACGTAGTCATAAGGGTAAGTTCACTTCGCGACTGTGTCGCGTGTGCATAATAATATTTACCTTGTTGGTTTATTACTGTCGCCGTACAATTCTGTCATCGCATTACTATAATACTGTCTTACTCGTTTGCGTTCTGGTTGTAGGGAACACCGGAGAGACTGATGCTTCAACTGATCGAAGAGAATTCGGTTATAGATCCGACTTATGTGGAAGATTTTCTTTTGACGCACCGAACTTTCATTAAAAACTCGATGGAAGTTGCCAACCAACTACTGAATTGGTTTAACGAACCGTCTGCGAGGGACCGCGTTACCAGAGTAGTGCTACTGTGGGTCAACAACCATTTCACCGATTTCGAAATGGATCCAGTGATGATGGACTTTGTAGAAAAGTTTGAAGCTTGTCTGGAAGAGAACAAAATGGGTGGGCAGTTGAGATTGTTAAACATTGCTTGCGCTGCAAAGGCGAGAACTAGGTGCGTTACTTTAGCCAGACCGTCCAGGGATCAGGTGTTACATTTTTCCATTTTGGGAGGATACGAGAGAGGATTTGGAATATTTATTTCAAAAGTATGTATTTTATTCAAGACTGTTTGTACGATGATAATTTAATTACAATATATTTTTGTAATATTTTAGGTGGATAAAAAATCGAAAGCTGAAGAAGTTGGTTTGAAACGAGGTGACCAAATTTTAGAAGTTAATGGCCAAAGCTTTGAACACGTTACCCATACGCGTGCTTTAGAGATCCTTCGAGGAACTACGCATTTGAGTATTACTGTCAAATCAAATCTTTTAGGTAAATATTTTAAATTACTTTTAATATGTATTGTTATATTTAATTACAATTACAATTTAACAGTGTTCAAAGAAATGCTTGCAACTCCTGATAACTCACCTCGACCAAGAGGTCGACAAAAACCGTCTGTGGAAATCGCTCGTCTTCAAGACGATCCACGGGCACGGCCGTTGCTCACTGCTCATCTTCCTCCGCCTATCCAACAACCCATTAAAACAAACGCATCCAACACTTCAAGTGGCGGAGGTTTTATGACTCTAGGTCCCAAAAAACGTCTTCAGCGGGCTCTGATGAAAATGAATATTTTACCAAAAAATATTATAGGCGACGTGTGTGATGATAGTTCCGTGTCGGCTAAATCTGACTCTAGCTCAAATTTTAAACAGTCACATAGCCACCCGGACTTGACCTCAATATCATATCTGGACGATACAAGGGTAGCAGCAGATTATCCAGAACATGTATTAAAAGTTTATAAGCCTGATCAAACTTGCAAATACCTATTGGTGCATAAAGAAACTACAGCGCATGAAGTTGTCATGCTTGCTTTACAAGAATTCGGAATCACAGAACCGAGTTCTCTTTATTCGTTATGTGAAGTCTCAGTGTCAGAAGGGGGTATAATTAAACAAAGAAGGTTACCAGACCAACTACAAAATTTAGCAGAACGAATTGGGCTTAGTAGTAGGTCAGTCTAAAACCTAACATCACGGTTTTTTTTTTGTTTTTTTTTTTAATTTAAATTTAATTTTTGTTCATTTGTTTTTATAGATATTACTTAAAAAATGTCAGTAATACTGAAACATTAGTTGGAGATGAGCTTGCAGCTGATTTAATAAGGGAAAGTCATGTACATTTTTTGCAATTGAACGCTGTTGAAGTGGCAGTACAACTAACATTACAAGACTTTTCAATATTCAGGCAAATTGAAGCTACAGAATATGTTGATGACCTATTTCAATTAAACAGTCGTTATGGAACACCAATGCTTTCTAAATTTGCTGAAGTATGTACTTCATAGATTTTTTTAAGTAAATTTTATTAAATGTCAAAAAAATTTTAGTTAGTGAACACAGAAATGTTTTGGGTTGTAACGGAAATTTGCTCTGAACACAACCTTATTAGACGGTCAAAAATGATCAAACAATTTATAAAAGTAGCACGTACGTAAACAAAATAAATTTAATTATTTTTTCTTATTTAACTTTTATTAATTGAAAATCTAATTTTATTTATATAGGTCAATGTAAGGAATGTAAAAATTTTAATTCTATGTTTGCCATAATTTCTGGACTTGGACATGGAGCTGTTAGCCGTTTACGCCAATCGTGGGAAAAATTACCCACAAAATATCAAAGATTATTCAGTGATCTTCAAGATTTAATGGATCCTTCACGAAACATGAGTAAATATCGTCAACTAGTCAGCAACGAACAATCTCAACCCCCAATTGTAAGTGAAATCTGATTTTTGTAATGGAACACTTTTGATAAAGGTACTAATTTTTAAATTTCTTTAGATACCGTTTTATCCAGTTGTTAAGAAAGATCTAACATTTATTCATCTTGGTAACGATACACATGTAGAAAGCTTAATTAATTTTGAAAAATTAAGAATGATTGCCAAAGAAGTTAGAAATCTAACAAACATGTGCTCATCACCTTATGACTTACTAACAATGTTGGAACTTGGTGGACAACCTACATCTAATGCAATGGTAGCTTTAAATCAGCTTACTACAGGTGTAAGTGGAAGTGCTCATCAGGGAGGTGCTGCTACATTTAAAAGAAGAAAAAAGTCAACTGCCGCCCCAAACCCAAAAAAGATGTTTGAAGAAGTATGCATAATATATACCAGCTTATTAATATGATAGTTGAACATTTTTGCAGTAAAAAACTAATCATTTTTCTTTTAAAATTATTTTAGTCCCAAATGGTAAGAAGAGTCAAGGCTTATCTGGCCAAAATGAAAGTGCTCACTGATGAAGAAAAATTACACGAACTGTCAATGAGTTGCGAAGGTTCTAGTACTGGTGGGTCTATAATGGGATCTGGACCAATAAGAAAACGACATCCATCACCTACGCTTTCAACAGCTAGTAGTGCTAGTAGTGCCAGTGAAGGATTGAAGAATACTGGTCCTAAATTCGGTAATTATTATTACTGATTATGTTCTTGGTTTATTTGTGTTTTATATCCAAATAACAAATTAGGCTCTGCTTCACCACAAGCTGTGCGAAAGTTATTGTCTTTGAGTGAGCCAAGCAAAACCAGACTGCATCAGCCCAGGTACCATATGGCACCTTCTCCGGGTCCACCAACTCGCCGCAATGTCCACCAACCACCTAGTGTTCCAGCAACATCTCATGAACGTTCTCACTCAGATACTACCCCTCTAAACCCACCACCACCTTTACTCTTATCATCGGTTGATCTGAATGCTGAGAGCAGTAGCGTTACTAGTTTATCAAACCTGTCACTAAGAAAGACTGTGACATCCAGTAAGTTAATTTATATGGCCTATTAAAATTAGTACATAAATGTATACTCATTTAAAGTTTGTCCTAGCGGGTTCAGTGACTTCCAGCGATTCAGGACACTCGACACAAACGAGCGGTTCAACAGATGTTTGCATGCCTCCAGGAGCATCGCCTCCACCGCCACTCCACTTAAGAAGACATTCAGTACTACAACCTCCAGGTACTAATTTATATGCACATTTATTTTATTTTACCACTTTTACTTGAGCCAATTACTTTTATTATTATTAGCGGGTTATCAGATTGGAAACCGTCCTATTTATTCGTCAAACATGCAGATGATGGGATCATCAACCAACTGTGTGAGGACAAGACCACCACCAGCTTACAACACGAGCGTTGCCCAAATGGCAGCTAGGATGCACCGTTTAGGTAGAGCACATTCGCATGAAGGTGTCACATCGACATACTATCTACGAGATGATGGTGATGATGATGATGGTAAATATGACTAAACTTATTTTTTTTTTTATTAGTGTTTAAATATTTTTGTTAAATAATTTTTCAGATGACGAAGATGCACAAGTCTCCGCTGTATGACTAGTCAACCACCCATGATGTAAAAATTAAAATGGCCATGAACATATCAAAACAAAAATTGCTTGTATAAAATTTAAAAAATATTATTTCCATTAATTTTTAAGTACAAATGAATAATTTGAATGTATTGTGTATATTAAGATGCATTCAATGTAACGGTATAATGTTATAAGTTTTTTTAAGGTTCTTCCAAAATACCTAGTACCTAATTTTCTTTTTATCTTTTCTACCATTTTTTCAATTTTAATTCGCGCGGAATAACAAATATGTTAAAAATAAATACTGATCTAGCTATCATTTTTATTTTATTTTTTAATGTATATATATATATAATATGTATCACTATATATGTAATTACTTTAATAACGTGTTTTTTATTTTGTTATTTAATTTTACCGACCAAAATACAAATTTCAATCATTATTATAGAACGTCTAAATATTATAGTGTAAACTTATCTTTCGATATAAGGATAGAGTACATTTAATTTAAGAGACACCTATTATTTACATTATAACATAATATGTAAGGAGTCTATTGTTTTGGTCGAAAAAGTATTATTATTTTTTACGCAATTATAAGTTAACTGGTTTAGTCAATTTGTCTAAACCAATCACATTATGTAATCTTAATTAGATTATTGATTTTGTGTTATGATTTATACATTATTTTTTTCATTTGTTTTAAATTTTATTCCTAAATTTTATATTGTATATCTAACTTGAATTTTAATTTATGTATTGTTGCTACTGACTGAGTATGTGTAAATCATTCGTAAAGATTATCGTGTTTTTTAAATTTTATTTTTATTTACTTTTTACCATGACATTAAGCTATATGTATATGTTGAAACATAAACAAAATTATGCCAAATCATAATTATTACTACAATCACTGGTATTCTAAATCCTTTACACATTTAATACATCGACTTAATCTAATAGTCAAACTATGTAAGGAAATAGAAAAAAAATACAACTATCTAGGAATGTTTACAGAGTTTATTTTGACATTTCTAAGTATGTAGTTTATTTCTGGTATAACAATTTGATAATAAAAATACATTGTTTTTTTTTTAAAGTAAACATTCACGAATATCAGTTTGAGATTTGAATTTGCTAATACAATGGAGTTTGTTAACAGAGTATTATTAACAACACACAGTTGCATATTAATGGCGAAGAAGTGAAAGGTCAAATCAAATAAAAATGTTATAATTTCTTATGTACAACCAGTAATTATTGAGGAATTCTTACTTAAAGTATACATGTACCTACACAATTTCTATCTGGACTTAGGAGAAGTTGTACATGTAACTATTTTAACTTTATCACTGATCTAAAAATCATCAACAAGTATGAAAAAAATGCATTGAATGGATAGTAAAAAGTGTCACTCACAAACAATGTCTTAAACAAAAACATGTGCCATGGAAAATTGAGGTTGATGGTTGATCCCCTTCAATTGGCTTGGACTAACTGCCATTTTGAGACAGTAATACAGTAATACCCACTTATTATTACTTACGGTAAAAACTGTCGCACCTAGTAAACATTTAAATTTATACACAACAAAGTTGAATGTTTGTCTATACGACCTCAGTGTCTCATTGACTGTAAAGAGTAAATTTATTTATTTATGAATTATACTGTAAATTTGTACCTCAAACCTTAATTAGATAAACAAACAGAAAGCAAATAATGGTAACATAGTTAATACATAATTTATTAAAATAATTTATCAATGCATAATAGGTATAAATTATTATCAATATATTAGGACCAGTTTTCAAATACTTGGATTTTTTACGCCATTTAAAGACTTAAAGTGTGTCCTGTGTCGTATCCATATTTTTTTCCCCTGAAAATTGTTATTTAGAGAACTTTTTTAAAATCTTGATATATGTATACATCAGACTTTGAAAGAGTGGTTTTTGAATTATTTTACTTTGTGTAGGCATGTACTAAGGATAATAGGTTTGGCAAATATAGAAGCTATGATATAGTGACTTCTATAAAATACCTATCTATGTAGTTCCTTTGTGAGGTCTATTTTAGAGTAAGTTTGGAATCCAGTAGGGGTGGTGGTTGAACACTGGGGAAGGGATTTGCGCACGCCACTGCCGAGTTCTGACTCAGAACCAAAAAGTACCTACTGTCACTGGATGTTACTTTTATTCAATGAACACGACTTGTATTTCTTTTACAACAAATTTACTAATTTATAGGAACATCTGTATAATTATAATCATAATCTATTTTAATATTTTCAACTCTAAATAAAAAAAAAAAAAAAATGGAAGTACATATTTATTTGTTTGTCAGCTGAATATACTGCTGAGACAACTGTTTGTTATATGCTGCTTGTTCACGGACTGATTCTTTTAATTTATCCAATTGTGCTATCAATTCTTTTTCTCTTCTTAAACATTCTTCTCTTTTTTTCTTTATCTCGTACCGTTTTTGAAATACCTTGCTATCCAAAATTATATTTTTTTCTTTCATTTCAGCAACTTTCAACATTTTCATCCTGAATTAATTTTTATAATTACTGATTAGGTATAGATATTATAAAATAATTGTTATAACGATGAGATCAGCCAATACGTAATGGCAATGTGTAAATATAAAGATAATAAATAAAATATACACTGACGACCGACCTATAGTTAAAAATAGATTCAAAAATATTATTGAACTTTTCTGCTTTAAATGAATTTATTTCCGTTTGGCGTAAAACATTCAATTGAATATTTTTATAACTTTCTTCTAGTTGTTTCATTGTCGCATACTGCACACTTAAGGTTTTCTAGTAATAAAATAACAGAATTTTAGATTTACAGGTTTGGAGGGAATGTTTAATTTTTAAATGACTTACATCCAGTTGTTCGATTTGTGACTTATCATTCTCAATTTTTTCCTTAAACTCCGGAACAAACTCTATTACGGTTGTGTGAATGTTATTATTTTTATTTTTTTCATATTCCACCAGCGAAACACATTTTTCTAATCTTTACATAATTATTACAATATAATGATTTTTATTATATTTATTGATACATCTTTAGAAGGCAATTAATATGCAGATTTCGTCCACAGAAACAAAAAATTGAGTACCTAAGTCCTTGACAATCGCAAATTTGTTAGTATTGGTAACTAAAATTTTTATTTTTTATTTTTACCTTGGACAATTAAACAATACTTGTAAATTTTTAATAGTGAGTGACTTATCGGTTTTCAAATGATTTGTATTTTAAAAATATTTATATGAATAAACTTGTTAACTACCTATTTAAATCTACCGAAGTGTAGGAACTAGGAGTGCCACCCAAATCATAGGATTATAGGAAATGTTTTTTATTAATTTTTGTTGCAGATTATTATTATTTTTCATTTCCTACAGTTAATTTTTATGTTAAAACGAATATAATTTTTGTAATTACAAATAATTTATTGTTATAACAGATATATACATATTCAAATAATCGAACGTCATAATTAGACTAAAGTGAGAATACATCCATTTTAACAAATAAATTATTTGTAATTACAGAAATCATATCCGTTATATACTTTATATACTACAGTTAATTGTAATAACAAAAAAAATCTGTAATAACAAACATTTAAAAACATTAATTTACTATGATTTGAGTGCCACTCCTATACGCTTCCATACACACTGATAATATAGATTATAGACCGTATATTCTGAATGAAAAATAGGTATATGACAAAATATCAGGATTAAAATGATATTCTATTTGAATAATTAAATCATATACATGACTATAATAACGTGGACCTCTCAATAGCTGTATTTAAAATAGCTACGTTATTCGTATATGAATTTAAGTATTTAACATTAATACAATAGTATTATATTATAGTTATTTATATGATTTCGTTCAAATAAAATATCGCTCCAACCCTGATATTTTGTCGTATATTTTTTATTCAGAATATTCGGTCTATATAATCTATAGTGCCTACCTATTATGTTTAAGTAATTAAGAGTAATATTAAATCAAATGTTAAACGAATATTATTCAAATATCTTCAAGGGCTTATAATAATATAGGGTCATTCCTATGTAAGTTGAAATAAGGTTCAGTTCAGCAAATTATGCCAACCGGACTTCGACTACGAGAATGTGGGAGAGAGGTGCTTCTGGAATTCCGCGTTAACTTTATTTTAAAAATAAATAATAGTTACTTGAGTTCAAGTGGTCGGATGATGTTTTCATTGTAAAATTTTATTTTTTCTTTAGTTTCTTCGTTGTGATACTTCATAATAGAATTCATTATTTCTAAGTTTTTTCGTTTTTTCCGCTGCTCCAATCTTTGGTTTTCTAATTCTTTTGATTCTTTTTCGTATTGTAATTTAATATTCTAAAATTAATTAAGGAGAAGGTGAAACTTTTAAGAATAAGGTATAGGTATTTTAGGATTCAAAATAAAGTAATTTAATAATCTATTATTAATTAGTATGTATATCAATAATTTATAATCTATACTCTGAAACACTTTTCCAGGACTGTTTTGAAATATTTCGAAATATGGGTTCTAAGTATTCAGCTATGGTAAATAGACATTCAAAATTTTAAATGTGGATAAGGTATTTACAGAATAACGATCTACATATATGTAGTCGATGATAATATTGAAGGCAGGTACTAAAATAGTAAGATATAGAAATTGCATTAGGTATAGATAGTGCATAATTTTTTTTTTACTAGTTAGATACCTGTAGACTGCAATGCATAAGTGTATAATATTATATTTATACTTTTGTGACACTGACCAGTTAGCCTGATCTTTTAACTGCTAACATTCAACATAGGTACTTGATACTACCCAGGTACACCAAAGCTCTTCGCCTCTCTCCACACCCTCCTATGACTATGTTTACCCAACCTTCATTCTTTCAAGTACCTAATACATCTAAGGACTAAGACCTATAAGCATTTAATTATATAGTATGCAATATGCATAACCATGGTTAGTATATTGCAGACAGGTAGTTAAATAAGTAGCAGTATAGTAGCATGCCGATTGCCGGTTATAACACGATTGAGCATAAAACCCCTTTTTTACTACACGATCGAGCAAATTTGTCAGCGTATCAAAGGATAATACATGGAAACACAAAAGAAAAAAACACAATTGTGTATAAAAAAAACTCTGCGATGTATCTCTCTCCAATTTTTAATTTTGAACTATGTTATACAAAAACTATTTATTTGAATAATTTAAATAATTCAAAATATGGTACGAATTAAAAATGTTCGATAAAATTATTGTTATATTATTTATAGTATGGACATTTTTCTAACACACAATGTGAGTATGTGACACGACTTTAGGTGATCGATCGCTACATAAACTGAATTAATTCTATAATACATCTGGAATTGTTGCTGAATATTAATCTTAATTTTCTTATATTTTTACCCAGTGCTAAATGTTTACACCTTAAAATGTCACATCTATAACGATCAGTATAGAGATAAAAGTATAGATAAAACTAATATTTATTACTCCGGAACTAACTAATAATATTGTCGATAAAGCTGGGCTCGGCTAATGGCTCGCTGTTCGTTTAAGTTGAGCATCATCAATCATAATGATTCTTGGTGAAACAATAATTGAAAATAATAAACTGCAACATTTCGACAATGTGTACATGGCAACATCGCATAAAATATTCTATGCTCAATCGTGTTGCTAAAAAGGTATATGATCAGTCGTGCTTTACCGAGCATGCCGAACTGCCGAAGGGTCCAGCATCTTGCACCCCCGACAGCACAATTATATTTAATATAGGTACCTACTAGTACTAAGACAAATTTTTTTGTATGAAACATTTGTTTATTTACAAACCTAGGAAATAAATAATAATTTAAAAGTATTAGATATTACAATTTAATATTTATAATAGGGTTTTAAATCCATATATAAATGTATTTCTGGCTTGAATCTAGCTACAACTATAGCTAGCTTATAGTTGTATTATAAGTATAAGTATAATTTAAAATATAAAATAATTAATCTATTAAAAAGTAATATTATAATATAAACTTGATCATTAAATAAACATGAGTGTAAATAGGTACCTCTAACTGCGACTGTTTTTTTTTAATTTCAATTTGTGCGGCCAGTATGGTTTTATTTTTATCAACACAAATGATATCTAGTTTTTTTATTTTAATATTTTCATCTTCGATTTTTCGACGTTTCATGATTATTTCTTTTTGATTTTCTTTTATTTCATTTTCAATATTCATTAAGTATCCTTGGCTATTTTTTAAATAAACTTTAATCAGTGATGATAATAAAAACAAATTAAAACTAAATACATCCTAATCTTAAAAGATTGCAAACAATATATTGTTTATTATACTTATTACAAACAAAATAATTGTTGACGCTAATAGTTTAATTGAGAAAAAAATGTTAGAATTTCAAAATGCTCATAAATTGTATACAAATCAAAATATCGTAAATGTTCTTAGATTAAAGTTTAGTAGGTAATAGGTAATTTCACAGTACAGGGTTGGTTCTGCTAAACGTGCATTTTCTAAGTTGCGCGTGGTTCAGAGTGAGAGAAAACAATAATGGTGCGCCAATATCCTCTTGTAGGAATTCAACATTAGAAATATAAATAGTACGTGCGTTCAGCCTTGTAATTTTGTATTTCGCCATAATAATAAATTAATAAACGATAGTTTGATCATTGATGTGCTTGTGCCACGCCACGTACCCACATTTACCTTTCTATACTGTAACGCGGAACTTCCGCATGTGGTTACTATCGAGGAAAAATATGTTTTTTTTCTAGTTAAAAGTACTGCCTACCTATGCAGGCATATAACCATAAGCCATGTATTAGGTAGGTAGGTACGTTAGATTGATGTATTCGTAAGATTTCTATAAAACTTCTGAAAACAAATTTGAATTTATCATTCATATTACTCTAGAACAGTGGTTCTCAAACTTTTTTTTTCAAATACCCCACATGTGTGTTTTATTAATCTGTCCTGTTCTTGTACCACTTACGTTTGTTTAAATGTTCAAACACAATATTAGTTTATTACAAATATTCATTTATTTACTATCCATTCTACCACTTAGTGACCTTTAACGTAGCATCATGTACCTAGTCTTCCGCATACCAATAGTGGTTAGGTTAAGTTTGAGAACCGCTGCCTTAGAAAATGTCTGAAATAAAGATCTTAAAAATAACTAATATATTTGGGGAGGTTAAATGTTTAAATTAAAAAAAAAACTGTAGGTACCAATAATGTCTGTTTGCAATCCCCTTGAGACTTAAGACATACAAATATAATTCTTATATACTACGATATAATTACTTAAGCATAAACGTACGCAGACTTATGTAGAAGATGAGTAAACTATTTTTTTGACCCCTATCACACTGCACACCTACCTGCACCTCCCTCAAAAAATATACATACCACAGATATTTACAAATATTTATTATATATATCTGCGATAGTGTGATACAAACTAAGAAATGCACAAATAAAATACACACAAACAGAAAATTAGAATGTATTTGCGCACATCTATGTCTTAACAAAACTTAAGTAATTTATTAAAATGCATACATAAATATAAGCTAGGTTCTTAAATATAAATATGTAATTAATAGTATTTGTGTATTTAACTTGCAGCTGTTTATAACTAATAACTAGAATAATGATGTTATAGGAGAGGGCGGACTTGGTGAAAATTGGCACTCTATGTGCAGTGCGATCTTATGCACACCAAATAATAATGAATGATGAATCTGAAATCTGGATGACTGTATGAATACATGAAAAAATTTTTCATGCTAATTACTGACAAATTTATTCATACCATGTAATAAAATTATTATTATTGTATCATACCTAATTAATAATAATTAATAAATACCCCATAAAGTAATGGCTAAATGTCATTATGTCAATTGACCATTAATAAAATAGTTATTAACTTCAAAAATCGAATTATGGACAAACCATCAACCAGCAATAAATATAAATGGTGCATAAATTATTGTGTTACACACGTCACTCATACATGAGGGCATGAGGCCTTCAAATGCAGGAGAAAGGGACTTGCCCCAAATCAGCCCTAATAAAGAAAATAACCTACCAACTTCTAAGTTGCTATTTTTATTCAATTTTTTTAGCGTATTAAAGAGAAAGTATTACAATTTAACCTAAAATCTCTAGATAATACATATAACATATATATATATATATATAAACTTATAGTTATAGAATATATAGTAGGACAGTAGGTATACTATATTATGATAATTAATAATAAATAATAATGAGATATTAACTCTTAAAAAACTTAACCTGTGTAGTAGAATTTCTTCAGTAACAGGAATCTTATTATGTAACTCATTTAAGTATCTACTTTTTTGTTCAGCTATTATTTTAACATTGTTATATTTTTGTATCTGATTAAATATGCTACTTATAATTTTGGAGCTTTCACATTTAATATTGTCCAAGTCTTTATTTATTTCTGTATTAATGTTCCCCATTTGAAATTGGAGGTCATTATAACAATCAAATTTTTGTCTGTTTACTTCAGTAAGTTGATCAATACTTTTATACATTTTTAAAATTGTTTCTCCCTCCCAAATTAAATGAATTTCTAATTTGAGACATTTGGCCCTTAGTGACAGACTTTTTGACACTGACTCAACTATAGCCATAATGTTATTCTTTACCATTAACCTATATTATATCAAACAATTATGTAGATTATAAATAATAATTTATTACTAAGTATTTACTAGATATTTAATTTATTAAATAGTTTTCCATTGCTTATTAGTTATTAATCAGGTGGATAGGTACTCATTAGGTAGTCATTAATCAATAAAAAGATATTTCACTACCGAAGCAAATTTGTGTTACTTAAAATATTTTATTAACTAAATGGTATACCTGCCTATTATATTTATATAGATTATAGGTATTCAATGTGAATATAATATAAAAATTAGACCTAAGCTAATAAATAATAATGATAACTACAGTCTACAATAAAAATACTACATAGAATAGGTAAATAATAACTACTAGCCACAAGGTAATGATTAAAAACCATTACTGCACCATGACACTACAAAAAAAATTGAGAAGTGGCAAAAGACTCATGGTATTTACTATTTAGGTGCCTACCAATAGAATCCCCGCGGCCCGCATTATAGATGTTATTTAGATTTTACGGAAATGCAATTTATATTAATTACAATATAAAATACATATTTCAGAGTTAATTACATTTTATATGCTCCCTACAAAATAAATGTTTAACATACATGTTTTGTTGATATTTAAATATCAACTTGCGGGCTTCATTAATCAACAAGACATTTTCATCATTTTTTTTTAAAAGACTTTCTTTCCATTTGCAAAAGGCATTTTTTATTATGACATCTGTGTTATTGAACTTATCAATTTCTTGATTTAGTATATTCTTTTGTAAATTTAATTTCTGATAAATGTCATTAGTTTGTTCGTCAAGTAATAAGCTAATACATTTTTGATACATTTTATAAAATGTCCGAGCACAACATACTGGGTTTTAAGTAATAAATTAAATTACTCTGTTCTTAAAGACTTACTTTTCTTTATAATATGCATTCAAAATATCTGTAGTTGATCTAATTGATTTTGTTACGTCATCAACTTTAAAATTGATTTCAACCTCAAATGTTTGCATTTTTTGTTTGTAATAGTCTTCATTATTTATTATCCACTTTGACTGAATCATTTTTGTATCATCTTTTTTATAAAAAAAATAATTATATCTATTGTTTATTTTTATAACTACTTAAAATACTACCGTAAACACTTTGAGTTGTATGATCTATTTTGTTTGAAAATAAATTATTTTTAGTATTATTTAATATTGTCTGACAATCTGTTTGTACCATTTGTATGTACTCATTAATATCATTACTTATCGATGGATCAAACTCAGTATTGATACTAGATTGTTTTATATCAGATATTATTTTCATTAAAGATTTCACTTTTAGTTCTAGATTTTGTGCCAATTCATTTCCAGAAAAAATCTCATATGCAGCCATTGCAACAAAAACAAAAAAAAATATATATACCTACTTTAATGTTGAAAGAAATAATTATAATTAATAGATAAATAATTGTATTTTTATTTAAATTATTAATGAGCTGTATGATATTTCATTGTTTTAATTCAATTATTGTTGTTATGAGCAACGATCAATCATTAGCATAATAATTTTTAATTTAATAGTATAACTGTATGAATGTAGGTTTTGTATTCTATTTATTTAATAGTTTTTTATTCATTGTATATTTGTGTACAATACTACTAAACAGTAGTAATAGTGATTTTGAATATTTTGATAAACACAGTTTGATAATATTTTGGTAGTAATTAAAATGCCCGTTTAAATATTTTAGATATTACTTTTAAAAGCATCAACAATTATTTGTATGCATAAATTATTTTATTTTTCATAACTGTAAACTGTACAAATATATTTAAATCTAAAATATCACATTTGAGTAAAAATTAGGTAAAATAACATTCCTAAGATCCAATTAAATTGTACTTGAGCAGCTGAATTTCTACCTGTACTAAATTTGTCAACAATATGTAACTTCCAGCCCATATTGCTTTGAACAAAACTATGGTAATATACTATATCTGGCCAAGAAGAATTTGGTTTAAATTCCAATACAGCTGGATCTCCTAAAATACATAATCATTTTCAATTTTATTAAAAACACAAAATTAAAATATTTGCTTTAATTTACCTGGTTCACATCTCATATCCAATGATTTATTAAATTCTTTAAATGAAAGAAAATTATCATCTAAACGGCGATCAAATCCCTTCCGTTCACGCAAACATAATGGGCCCGCTAAATATATTAAAATACTTATTGCTTATTTAAAACTATAATAAATAATAATACAATAGATTTATTTACCAGAAGTAGGTCGAGCTTGTCTCCTTAATGTATATTGAACACCGGCTAATATTCTAGTATGTTTCTGTGCAACATCTGTCATACCATCATAGCCACCATTTGGTTCATCGGTTATTACAAATGGATGATAATACTGTGAACTATGAGGGTTGTTGCCCCCATAAATATGAATTACATATGTAATGCCACGTTTCAACCATATTTCAGGTATTAAATATCCATTTATAAACCATGCAAGACCAGGTGAAGGTAAACCTACAGAAAAAATTGTTTTCAACAAGTTTGAACATAATACATTGAAATTACTTACCCGTTAGACCTTGAAATCCTTTTTTCCCACCTGATGGACCTAAGGTAGCAGTCATCATTCGTAAACTCGAATCAATGATTTTTGGTTGTTCCCATACATCCCTGAAAATATCAGACATTTAAAAAAATAAAAATACAATTTATTTTACTAATAAAAATTTACTTTTTTAAAGTTTCAGTATTCACAGTAAATGGATAACAAGTATCGATTGGAGGCTTAGGATCTAGGTCGAGTTTTAATACACTTCTTGGGAAAAAATCATGAACACTGGGCTCTTTTTGATGATTCATACGACCAATTGCCCAGATCATCGAATTTAATGCATTAGTTTTAAACTCTTTGTCTCCAGCATCATCTGCAATTAAAAATGTTATTGATATTAGTATAAACTTTAATTTTGAGTCAAACCATATAAAAAAAAAAATGGGATGATGGAATATTATTATATTAAGTATATTATACTCTCTAGGGCCACTACTTAATAATAATTACTACTATTAATGTTTTAAAATTAAACTATAAAGAAGTTAAAATGTTTATAATAGGTATTGTAAAATAAGACTAAACATGTTGAACGATCATAAACATGTAAGACAGATGCATACAAATATGATATATTCTTAGCATGACTTCTATTACATATAATTTTATATTAATTAATTGATTAAATAGATATACATGATTGTAAGTTTCTTCTATATGTTATGACATTGATTCCATTTTCTCTAGTTGCAGTATGTACTTGATTGTCATCTAATCCACCAACAAGAGTGTCTCTACATACTCCTTTATACTGCCCCAATACTTTCACACACTACATTAAAAACCATTATAATTTAAACATTATTTTGTAAATTTAAATAAAATATGTCTCTACAAACTGGAGATTTGTCTGTAACGTTATAATCCATTGCTTGGCCTCTAAACCCATCAATGTATGTTATAGCAATATCAGCTCCAAGCATTTGAGGCGCTTCTTCAGATCCACTAAATCCAAATGCCATATAATTATCTTCATCTATTTGTCCTGCTAGTCTTATTGTAATTTGAGGGCCAAATACTTGCCAACTTAGTTGAAGCTTTTTATGTAATTGAACACAATGCTGAATATTCTCTATTTTATCCTAAAATAAACATTGAAAAAATATTTATTTTATTTTGCTGAAAGTTGTTACTTAATCATAATAGTATTTACAGCAACTTTCTGTAAAGATGGGGGTACATTTGGTTCATCCGGTATTAAAACCCATCCAAAATTGTCTTTAGTTTGTAAATCATACACGCTTAACCAATCTATGTCAAAAACTGTAGTATCTCCAACCAGCTCTAGTATAATAGTTTCATTTAAATAAGTTCTTAAATTGTCTAGACTGTAAATAAATCAAATAAATTAAATACATTTGAAATAAAATAACTCTGTAAAATATCTACTCACTATCCTGATTCATCTGGAATTTTTCGCCCTTTAGCTGATGGTTGAGGTCCATTCCCAACAACGAAGTACGTGTCTATTGAAAATTTAAAAATTGTTTAAATGACTTTAATTGTAAGACAAAATATTTATCATTTGATTTCTGTTTACCTTTCCCAGCACCATTGTAGGAAAACATAGGAATCTTGATTGTTTTAGAATCTAATATTTCAATAGGTCCAGACGAAACTCCATGTGATTTAGTTGTAAGATCACCAATTATTTGTTTAATTGGTGGTTCAAAATCTTCTGGGACATACACATCACCAAACACAATCTAAATGATATGTTCATTATAATTAATTGAATAATATTTATACAATATTTATTCTAAATAATTTTTTTAATAAGACATGAAACTTCTTACATTTTTTGAAAGATCGTAAATAGCAAGCCAATTTATATCAGTCAATTTTTTATTATCGGGAAGAGTTAATTTCAATTCTTTTCCTAAATATCGTTTAAGCACATCAGTCCTATAATGATAATATTATAAATAAAATTACATAATACTATTTTAGTACATTTTCATTCAGTAGGTAATAAATTTGATTTTTACAAATAGTATATAAATAAGTATAAGTAGATAATTTAAGAAATTATCTTTCTTACCGTCCATATTCATTAGCCAAAATAAATCCTTGAGGCCCTGGTCTACTAGAAGCACCTGCCCAGAAAAATGCATCATTCGCACTACCATCAAATGTAAAATCTGATATCAACAGTGTATACTCATTAACAGCATACACTTCACCACCAACTTGATGATGGTATGAATTCAGAGTTCCTAGTGATTTACCTCTATACTCGGTACTTATGACATAGTTCCCTGTGGAATAAAAACGATGTCAATAAATGTTTTTTTTTTCTAGGGCATTTAAGTTTCCACAATTACTTTCGAGTAAAAAAATTGAACATAATAACAAACGGGTCATTAACACTGGACACATAATTTTGTTCACTTATAAATTATGATACAATAATATTATCTAAAATGTATTAACTATTTTTAGTTAGAATTTAAACATCAAGGCGGTAAAGTCTTCACATTTTGTTCATAATTTAATCACAAAAATTACTTTTTATCTTTAAAAAAAATGCATTATCACCGAGATTCATAAGAATGGCATGCACGTCGCATTCGGTTAATGGCAACTACCTGTTGTACCTTCCAGTTAACTACTGAGTCAGAGTGAGACGTGAGTCATATTAAAAAGAGAGAGATCTTGATAGAATTAGAAAGTGACAGTGAATACTGCTCCAGTACGGTGCATGTAATACCTGTCCATTATTTTTAAATAAAAATGTAGTTCAATATTCAATGAGAGTAAAGTGACCAATTATTCAACAATCTCCCGACTGGCCGACTAGGGACCATACTACCTACTACTTTGTCTTAGTACTTACTGCTAATCGTATTATTTTTACTAAGCGATCACATCTATTATAAACATGGCTCATGTAGTCATGTAAGCATGTAACTATTATATAGATGACCGACGTCTGACCATGTACTCTATACCGATTTATTAATTATTAAAGTGTATTGCAGCTACTACTATAATTAGCCACCTATTACATAGCACATTATAATAATACATCTTAATTTAGAATAGTATAATACGTATTGTCACAGGAACGGATCCAGGGGGGGGGCAGGGACCGTGGTCCCCCCTCAAACCCATGTTTCTAAAAAATGTATACTGTCAAAAAAAAAATTTTTTTAAAAATACCTAGTTTAATATTGAAAGTTTTCTGAAAATTATGACTTAGCCCCCCTCCATGTCTCTGGAACCACCCCTGTATTGTCACAATGTAAATTAGAGAAGATATCTTCTCTACATCGTGCTTATTGTACTGCTTAGTCAATATTAATGTTATTTATTATCAAATATCAATATATCTTTAAAATCTTTTAGCAATATTAAATATTTGCCTTATTTGTAAAACTATAAAAATGCTTGAATTGTGTACACTGTATTGATGTTGCTCTGAGACAATAGAGACATCGTATTAATAGGACACTCTGACATTGTATAATAAACTCAGTAGCAGGATTAAAATTATAACTTTTATCACGATTTAATATTTACCTTAAACCTTAGATACCTAGTAAAAATACTAATTAGGTACTACTATTAATTAGATGCACGTACACACATCTTATACATTTATGGCTATAGTTTGTTCTTAAATGATCATTGTATTTGTATCATTCTATGATAAAATAAAATAAAGGTGGGTATAACCTGTTTAACTAGGCTTCTATAAAGGTAGGATACTTGAGAATCTAAGGACGTTTCTCACTTTGTCCCTTTCCCTCAATTCATTGGACTTTAGTTTAAAAAAACGAATAATAATTGAAAATTTAATATTCCTATAAATGCCTCAACACGAGTCGAAATATTTTTAAAATTGTATGATTGATAGAAAATGTGAATATAAACATTCAATGAAAATTTCATGTAACTAATAAATTTTTTTTAGAGTTATATCAAAAACCAAAATCAATTTTGTCAAAAATGTTGTTTACCGAAAAAATTCCCGTTTTTTCTTAATTTTTATTATTTTCTTATCGCTTTTGAAAACCATTTTTAATTTTTTTACTTCTGACCAAAGTACTAACTAGATTCACTTTCCGGTACTTTTCTGTTATCCCTACTACTGTGACCACTCAATTCTGTTATCTCGACTACTAAGGTAATATTCAGATAGTTCTATATTTTAATACATAAAACACATGAATTGCCATTTATATAATAATGTATATTAGGACAACGTCATCAAAATTATCACAAAACGTCAAATAACAAATTTTAAAATTATCATCAAAAAATTATAATATTAAAAGTATTATCAAGATCTTAAATATTACATATAAAAATAAAAAATCACAGTTACATAAGTCTAAAATCTATTTTTGCATTCACGGTGCCCCGGAAGAAACCCTCTCTTGAAAAAATTCAATCGCATCTTTTTCACAGTTCGGTAAATTCCACAGATTCACAATTATTTTAAAATTAATAAATACAATTACAGAAATACAACAACTGTCGGCAACTGGTAATCGAGCGAATTGTAGTCGCAGCATCGGCGTGGTAGTCGAGATAACAGAAAAGTACCCACTTTCCTACCAGAAAATATGCTGTTGAAAAAAATCAAAGAACTTTTACTGTTCAAAAACTCGATGACAGACACAAATAAAACATCATTGTAAAATCAATACAATGAATGTATGAGCTAAGCTCAGAATCTAAAATACAAAATTGATTAATAAAAATCAAAAATTTTTATTCTTTATTTTTGGAAGATAACTATCGTAAATTACAGAACTCAAAAAATTCAAAATATCTTCATTTGAAAAATGTTCATAAATCTTTTATAACATATCATTATATCATCATTCATCATTATCCAAATTATTATGAAAAAACTCCTGTTCTGTTTTTAAAAATTTGAATGGATGCACTTGAGTTTCTAATCTGATTCAATGAAGAGCCACATAGTTGGATGATTTATACGGACTAGTGTTGTAAATTTATTATTCCAATCCTCCAAAAATATTATTTGATCTATAGCCCAAAAGCGCAAAAATAAATATTCCATAAGCGCTAAAAAAATACTTTTTTGGTTCAATCATGTGAGTAAATAAATTGTACAAAAATAAGGTGTATTTCATTAGGACCGTTTAGTTATTAATTCAACTTTTACAGTAATAGAAAAAAGAACTTGAAAATTTTAAATGTTAATAACATAGGTAGTACTATATTAGTTGTAAATAGTATAACTAATAATAATGCGTAGCAAACCATATGCCGATAAGCAAACCATTATTTGTATAGGTAAATGTAAATGATATTTCAATAGTTAATTTATGAATACTTATAATTGTATCGAAATCTGAACGCAAAAGCATCGTAGCGCAGACACCAACTGATATAATATCTTTAAACATTTCACTAGAATTTAAGATATCTATGTTTCAATTAAAAATAAATAAAAAGTCAAATAATAATATATATACATATCAGTAGCGGTGGGATATAATACTATTTGAAACGATTGCTTCAAAGCTTCATAGCTTCAACATAGTAAATTATCATTTTGATGTAATAAAGGAGATGGTTGGTGGTAAAAATATTAAAAATGTACAATTTGCTTTAAAGACTCAAAAAGTTCGCACCGCCACTGAATTGTCTGATACATATATAATATGTATAATAATCTCTATGTATATATATATATTATAGTTATTAGTTATTAAGCTATAGTTATTAAGTCAAATACCATATTTTGATATACCCATGTTCTTTTATCATGGATATACCTATGTTTTTACTGTATATCTGTATGTGTATAACTGTAGTTATCTTAAATGATTATCAACCGTCACCATGATTTGTTACGATAAAACATAATACAATAATAATACTAAACTTCAACTGAACTCGATGTCTCGATCACCGTTGGTGTATGTTTGAAGTATAAAAATACTAAACATTTAATTAAAATTAATGATTAGTTATTTCAAACTGAAACGTCTGAAACTTATAGTATAACGACTAGCGGGTACAATATTGTATCAGGTAATGCAATTTTTTTTTGCGCTTGTATCCCACTACTAAGGTACAGAAGTACAAAGTACCTACAATTACAGAGTTGGAAGTAGGTATTAGTAATACACAACCACCAATTAAATCTCGAATCTGCTAATATTTTTAGACTGAGAAGGGAGAATAAAATCATTGATAGAAGTAGAAATCTACTCCTCGATTTCTTCGCTCTTGGAGCAAAATAGCAAATGACTAGAAGCTGGTGCTTTGACTTTTGGGGTAATTATATATTTGTATTGTTCATTCTAAATTCAATCGCATTCCTCAAACGCGGACTTCCAATTACAAAATCAGAAATGTTGATTCAGATTTTAGTCAAATTTTTACCATAGGCGGAAATTTATTCATCATTTTTTAGTGGGCCAATATTTAAAAAATACTTAATCGCATATCAAAAATCGCTTCCTGGAAAAAAAACTGGAAAATGTTGAGCCTGCAACACATCTTACCTTAAACACCGTGGAAAATCTAAGTGTGATTTATATATTATTTTAGATATTCTGTATCATTATACACGATTACACGAGTAGGTGTATAATATATTTGTGTATTAGGTATATAATTAGCATTCGTGAAGTATTTCTTTAAAGTGATAAGCATATGAAAGCTTTATTGATCAGATTTTTTTGTAATTGTTCATATTTTAATAAGCCCTCAAGCTATCATTTAGAGTAATGATTACTTAGTATCTTTGAGGGAGCTTGTCTATGCTGATTCACATATTATCATTGTGCTGGTGGGATGATTTTGTCCACCGACCACTGGGGCCAACCGCAAGAAGTGCTTCGACGTCGTTAGGTCCTCGTTACATAATAATATGATATGTACCAATGTACCATCATATTATAATCTCTGGTACCGTGTACATTATGTTTTATATGTGGTATAATAAGCAGACAGCTGCGTTCCAATCAGCTGGGCGCTGCCGCAGTCAAAGTGCTAAAGTGCGCCGCGCTCAAAAATCCGTCTCGCGGCCAGCGGGTGCGCGAAAACGATCGATCTATACTCTAGCAGATGGCGCGGCGCGAACGCCGGTGTGCGCACGCACGCCAACGGTTCATCGACGCCGCCGATCAGCAGCTGATCGTCCGTACAAGGAACTTTCCGACGCGTGAAAAAACAAAAATTGACGGTCAAAGAACGAGCGGAACGACGCGCGTGCGTTCGATGACGAGGAGAACGGATTGTCGTGGGGGTGTCTGGGGTGGGGGGGAGGGCGACTGGGAGAGTGAGCGAGCGCTAGCGCGCGCGCGCCGCGGGTTTCTAGTGCCCCCGCCAGAGAGAGGCTAGAGAGCGAGAGTGCGAGCCCGCCGACTGCTGACAGATGTGGGGACGGCGGTAAGTAGCGGGGAAACGGCAAAAAATCGTTCGGCCGGCTGTGCCTGTGCGTCGGTGGCGTCGTCGTCGGTGTGCGCGCGTGTTCTCGTGTCGGTGTGTGTGTGTGTGTGTGTGTGTGTGTGTGTTCTTGTGTGCGTTGGTGGTGCTTGAGCGTGCGAGTGAGCGACCGACCGACCAGAGGAGTCGCTTAGACGGGCGACGAGTGTGTGAACTGTGTGTGTGCGCGCCAAGTAGAGCGGGGCGGCGGTTTGTGTGACTGTGCGTTGTCGGACGATGTCGGACCGAGAGAGCGGCGATGATCAGCCCCAGAGCCAAAGTGAGTTTGTTGTTTTAAATGAATCGCGTAAGCACCGGGACGGCGCGCCCGAAAAAACGGCGGCGGCGGCGCTCGAGTACGACCCGCCACTGTTTCCCGGGAGATAACGGATCCGTGAATCCAAGATGGCTGACCCCGAGCCGCCGCATCGGTGATACCCGCATTCATTGCACCGGTATTCACAATATTGAATATTGTCTTTTCACCCCGGACCGGCCACCGACACTATTATCGCTCGCATCACTCTTTCCGAGTTTCCGTGTGGGTGGTCTTCCCTATTCCCGCGTCATGTGACCGCACACACACTAGTCACCCCTCTAACATATGTCCGTGCACTTGCCTCATTCGTTCTTTTTTGTTTTGTCGCGACGAAATTGAATTAACAGATAAAACGACCGGCATAGTTTCTCGGCAAAAAAAAACCTACCCCTTGGCTTAGGGGACGGTAGTTTCACGGATTCCCATCTTCGGGTTACGCGCCATTTGTCCCGTTGGTATTGCTGGTCATCGAAATAACAATATAAAATGTCCTCCGGAGATGCGAGACTAAGTCGCCGACGAGGTATTTGTTTTTATCGTGTCAAATAGTGGTCCTAGCAATTGACTGCTACCAGACGGCGGCAGGCCCCCTTAGAGACGATATTGATGAACAAACAACAGTTGACTACTCTGGCAAACAACTAATCTGTTCATTTTTTATTTTGATTTCCAGGGCAAGCTTCAAATGGAGCTACAGGTTCTGATTCTGGTAAGAATAATGTAATATCTTACAGACTCGGGTTTTTTTTTTTAAAATTAATGACCGTATGTACTAATAATTTGGTACTAAGTAGCGATTAATTGTTTCTTCGATATAAAGTACTGTTAAGAGTTGTGATGTTTTATTATATTATTCAATTTGGTATTATACCATGGTTACTTTTTTTTAGATATTAACCTTTCACTGCTACACTGTGTACCTATGCTTTGTTACCTGGGTATGCTACATAAAAATTAAATTTTGAAAATATTTAAATACAAACTAATTATTCAAGTTTGAAAAATGTGAGCCAGGGTTTCCTAAAATTGTACAGCTACCAGAAAATAATGATATTATAAGGTGCAGGAACGTAATAGGATCAGTGAAAGGATTAAGTATTTAGTTTGTACATTTGGCTTGATTCATGATTCAAAAATACCCATCCAGGTATCCAGATCTGTTACATTTATTAATCTTGAAAGTAATGGTTTATTTTAGCAATTTAACGATTCATCGACCAGACGAAATAATAATTAATAATATAATGTATAATAATTTATTTTATATTTATTACCTCTATTAACTATACCTAGGCTTGAGGTATAATTTATAATTTAATAGCTTATCTATTTTATAATAGGTACCTACCTATTATTTATAATTAGGTATAGTGTGCTCCATTAGTTATCATTAGATTATTCAAATATTATCAATACATTTATCCTAAAAGTTTCTTTTTCAATTATTTAATTTATGATAAATATAATTATTTATATTATGAATTTGTACTAAAATTGAATGTATAAAATTATAAATTTTTGTATATTCATGTACACTGCGTACATACTTCATAGTACACAGATATTTATGAGTATGTTTAAGATATTTCAAATTAATTTACTTTACGACTACCTATAAGTCTTGTTTGGTTTACCGTAAATACTCTCCATCGCCATCAATGTTTCCTAAAATTTTAATAAATAATCACATTAAGGCATCGATACAATAATTTATGTAGCTTACAAATAAATCTAAAATATAAGAAATTGACTTTATATTGTAATTACTATCTCAATATCTTATGGAAATAGTATCAAAAGAATTTCAATTATGAAATGTGCATTTTTTTTTAGAAGAATCCTTGATTAATTACATTTTTATTGATAAGGAAAAATTAATTTTAATTTGATTTCAATAGCATAGACATTAGAGATCTAATGTTCATAGCCAATAGGAATGTCTTTATCTATTATATTACAATATTATGCTAGTGTTAAAATTTAGATGATTATAGCCATTGTACACCATAAGCGGTTACTTGAATTTTCCTGAACATAACAATGAAAACAAACATAAAAATGTAATTAAATTAGTTGGTAGAACACTGGAAAGAGGGTACCTAAATATATATTATAGCCAAGGGCAGAAAATTACCTTGGTTTGATCCTGTATATGGGTTAGAGCAGGGTTGGCCGACTACAGCCCGCTATCATTTAATATCTGTCCACTAACTTGTTAAAGTTATCTATATTCAAATCAAAACATTAAAAGGTACGATAAAAATATTGATGAAATATGTTGCGTTAGACACCTTTACAATATTTGATGAATAATTTTTAATTCTTGGGTCTTCAAGACTTAAAAAGAGTTTGGTCACTACTGAGTTGGAGTGTTGGCATTGTTAATTTTTTTGTAATATGTAATTTATACAATTTTTAATACTTAAAATTATCCCAGTTATCATTTCAAAGAAGTGGTTGACTGATGGTGTTCTACAAATTATGGTTAAAAGATAACTCTACATACCTAATTAAATATTTGTTCAATAATTTAGGTTATTATTACAGTTTATCAACTTGATTAATATTTACTTACCTACTTTCCCTTTATTAATGGTGTGTCTAAATATAATTAATTTTAAATCACAGATTTTAATTGTAAGATAATACCTAGGACATTGGCTCAACAAAATAAATACAAGTATATACATGTTTATATGTATAATTACTAATTATCATTATTTATTAATTATTTATTACATTCACATTTATACCCTTCTTTAATTAAGAAATGTTGTAAAGATTAGAAAGTATTATAAGTTGATTCAAACACAAATACTATTAACCAAGACATAATTTTAATTATATATATCATTTATTAGTGTCCCAATCAGTTTCGCTATCGTTATTGATGAATGTATTGTTTTTTCTTTTTTGGTCATATTTTAGATAAATGTTATTGTAATAATAAAATAGTGTAGATAGACCTATATATATACTTGTACATATTACAATAAATACCTAGATTAGTATTGGAGGCAATGGCATAATAAAAGTTACATGTTACATAATTTTGTTAAAATATTTAGCTGAGTAAAAAAAAATGTAATAGGAATTATTTTTCATACGTAATTTCATAAAATATTGTCCATTAATGTTTCGAGCATCAAAAATAAAAAAATTGATTAACAAATAATAATACTGTAAATATCTAGAATGTGTACATGGGTATTTATTTTTATTTTGTTTTGTCACATTTTAGTTTTTAACGATTTGGACTATATAATTATATATATAATTATTGTTGTTGTTTTTTTTTTTTTGATACCTTGTCTTAAATATACCCATACATTATTCTACTTGTGTTGGTCGACAATAATTGATAATACATCAGAAAAAAATAGGTACCAATGTATTGGTTTTTGTTTGTTTTTTTTTTTTTGTAGAAGTAACAATGTTACTTTTTATATTGAAAAGTAAACTAATTTCATTACAATTATACTTAAGTAATGTGTAAAGTAACTAATAAGTAATAACTTAATGTTAGGTACTCAGCATTGCTAGATTATTATTAAATCAATTCAATATAATGAATATAGATCCTAGATAATTACATAATATAATTGTTAACATTACATTTTGAAAATGCAAAATAAAATAACATGGTATTTTAATATTACATTATCTTGTAAATAATAAATCTAGTAAAGAATTACCTAATTATAACCTCGAGAAATAATTGTTGTAAAAAGAATAATAATCATAGGTTATTAAGTATCTAAATTATATGAATAATATTATTAATTTCTATTTCCATATTTCTTAATTGAATGTTAAGCAATAGGTGGTCGATGAAATAATTTAATTTTAAAGAAGATTAAAATTGTATATCATATATTTATAGAAATTTAAATTGAAAAAAACAAACATTTTTCTTGAATATATAAAACAAACATAGTTAAGAAACAATTTAAAATTAAATTTACATTCCTGTTGATAATTTAAAAAAAAAACTGAATTGTGAGTGAAGTAAAATTAGTAGGTAGGCTTCATTGAAGCGGGGGGGGGGGGGGCAATGTCCACCTACATTTCTCTCGGCCCCGCTCGGCCACCTAACCATTAAAAAAAAATTTCTTAAAAAACAGATTATAAAATGTAAGTTCTATACTTCTATATGACTAAATGTCAAAAACAATTTTTTTTGGCCGAATAAAATACGAATGATTTTTTTAGTTATGATCAAGATCCTCGGAATTCACCAAAATTGTGGCTATGCTCTCTAACTGTATTAACTCAAAAAAAAATGTGTGTATTATATTATGTTATATTTAATAAAGTATATGTTTTTAATGTAAATTCGTTGAAAATTAATCTAATATTTAAGTGTGTGAATAATATGCCTATATAATTTATTATCAATTAAAATTAAAACCAATTATTTGGTAAGTGTTATTATGTGGAAACTTAATATATGCAACACAATCTTTAAAATTGGTAGAGTGCTAGCCTGCCCTTATTGCGCCTATGAGTGGGAAAAAGACCACGCGTTGGGACTGATTTGGCCCTATCAAATTTTCAAAGGCCCCCAATCCCCCCCCCCCCTCCAGACAAATTTCCTGGCGCCGCCACTGCATTGAACAGAGTTTAATACACTTCAGTAGCTCAGCTCTATAAGCCAGTACAAAATAATATTTTAACTATTTTGCATTACATTATTTAGGTGGTTAAGTCTAATATTTTCAATTATATCGATAACAAAAAAAAGGTGGAAAGATAATCATTACCCACCTGTTATATAAATTATTAAATTCTACACACGTACATTCTCCAGTCATTTTTGAACTATGTATTTTATTTAACATTTCTCTATATCTTACTCCTAAATATTGTTCAACTAAACAATAAGTTTTTGTTTTTTTTTTGTTGTATTGAAACAAATAATTAAAATATTTCATATATTGTTTACGTATTTTTATTCAATTGACATTTTTTATTTGAATTGACCATGTTTCAATCCATTAATGGGGTAATCCCATGTGATTATTTATGCAATTCGTGTATGTGTATTTATCTGTGGATCACGTTTATCGTCCCGTATTAAAGCGGGGGTGGGGATGACTGACGTCTGAGTCATTCGGTCTTCCATAAGATACGCGTCACCGCAGCCCAAAGATTCGTAATTATTTTCAAGCACATGGTTGGGAATGGGCATGACGCGGAATGTACGACCAGATCATTTGTGTTATGCGATCAATCGATGTCTTGTGTTTTTGGTGTTGTTATAAAGACACCTAAGTAGGTGTCGATTTATAAGAGTGGTTTATGTAATTTATGAATGGAGATTTCATCAAATGAGGTGAGTGGCGTAAGCGCCGGACGTATTTCGGAAGATAATGTCAATTGGAATTATGGAAGAATATCATACTGGCAGTCATCCCTTGGTAAATTATTGGATATTTTTAAATAATTACAAAATTTCTGACCCCTAAATAATTCTGTTATTATATTTTATTAATTATTTCTTAAATTTGTAATTATTAAATATAACTTAATTTAAAAATAATCTAATATAATTGAATAAGTTTTTTTTTCATTTAACCGACATCAGAGGAGGCTCTGTGTGAACAATAACTAAATAATTGGTTCGATATGTAAATGTGTAAATAATTTATCATTGAGTTACTTTCTTTAAATTCTAAACTGAAGAATTAGTCTACAAAATACGTTTAATATGATAATGAGAAATTCCTATTTTTAGTTCATTGGTCAACGACTGGTTGTGTTCATTTTGTTTTAAATGTTGTCGTTTGAGTCTGGTTGTATTTTGTAAATAGAGATGGTAACATGGTATAAAATATAGATGTTATTAAACATCATTTTTTGGTAAAAATAATTACTATATAATTAATTATTTGCAATAATTGTTAATAATATACCCGATTTATTAGAGAATCAACATTTTAAAAGTATAATATAATTTATATTATGAATGTAGTAGTGGTGTAGTGGTTTTCAATCTGGGGGTCTCAACCCTTTTCCAAATTGTTCATAAGCGGAAGGGGGGGGGGTTGGGGTGCCAAAAATAATGAATATCATAGTCTCATCCTTATTATATTAATGTCCAATATAATGACGTTTAAATATATTTTAGTCAAAAATTTATAGTTGTTGTTTGATTTATAAGGTATATTTCACGATACGTATATACTGAACCGTAATAAATTCAAAAAGTTAAAAATAATTACATTTTCTGTTTGTTAAAAATCACGATTTTTAATATAAATTGAAGAATTGAATATAATTTATTTTCCATATTAATGGATGGTTGTACCCACAACATATATGTTATAATAAAGTATATACTTTGACCTGTTATTAAATTAATAGATAATACGACAATTCGTATATTATTTTAAATTATTGAAAACAAACAAAATGAATTCAAATTTTATAAGTAGGTATATTAGAAACATCTGTTTTTTTTCTAAAAATGTCAAATTAAAAAGAAAGTGGTTTTCCAGGGGTTTTACCAATTACCAATTACGTAAATGTAATAAACTAATAAGTAATAACTAATAACTAATAAACCATCACTTAATTACTATATTACAATTAATGGCATTGCAGTTAAACTAATGAGCACTGATTACCAATCTTTCTTTCAATTTTACTATTAAAAGAATAGTTCCAAAAAGAAAAATCTACCTATTAGAAATATTTATTATATTGGTGTCCGTACCACAATGAAGATGCGTGAGGGCAGCTAACCACCCATCAGTGTATAAAATATTTAGTATACCTATTTCTTGATTTGTTTTATCATTTACTATCTCCTTTTGTTTTAACATACCTAGTATCCATTTACCCGTTTGGTATGGTTGAATGATAAAATTATTTTAGAGAATCTATTCTTAAATTATTGCTATTATTTAGATTTGATTTTTCAGTCGACATAATAACACCAAAATAAAAGATGCTCACATATAGAATAATAATATGTACCAAGTACTTATAGTTTACGCGGTCGCGGTGTCATACGTGTCTTCGTCCGACTATTTACGTTTTAAATTCTAATCGTACTGTTCTACCACACTACAGTGCGGCTGATGCAGCCACAATTTGCATAATACAAACTCGCTGGATTTTATGGACTTGGCGTTAATGCATTTTAATTGAAGCGATGAATGTATGACTATACATTTTACAATGTGTATTGTTTTATTTGTTATATGGACACGATTAGTAGTGAAAAAAATGCTTCGATTTTGTAGGTGGTTTTCTATTAGTAAAATGGGTTTAGGTGGTACTTTTGGGAGGCCAAAATATATGATTACCAATTATTTAGTTTTTTTATGTGTAGCACAAAAATGAATTACCGTAGATACTTTTAATTTTAACCTAATGTAGTGATAATATATCATTACACATGTATAATTTTTTTAATATTTTGAGTATTTTTAAGCTATTCAGAGACATTAGAAATTAGAAATTTTATCATTAAGAAGTTCTGATTGATTCTTAAAAACCTAAAAATTAATTAATTTCATTATTGCAAATTTTTTTTGTGGAAATTTTAAGTTATAATGTGGACGAAATTAGATATTCAGACGACGAATAAACGATTGTAACTCAAATTGTAATTCAAAAATATTTTCCTTGGGGATTTGAAATTTTTAACATATAATGTATATAAATTATATGTATATACATTATATTTTATGTACATCATTAAAGTTAATTTTATGCTATTGCCTATTTATAGTTTATGCTGTAATGCTAATAGTAAAAAAAAACTACTATGTGATAATAAGAAGAGTCTCCGTTCAGATTCGTTTTTCGTATGAAATGATTTACATTTGAATTCAAATTTAACACGTCCATTGCAGTAACCTATACTGAATGGCGAGGTACACTCAGCACCTATTGCATGGCAGAGCAACCGCTGTCCCTCCTTTTTTGATTTTTGTAACTAGTATATTCTAATAATATATTTAATATTGACCCGCGACCACTCAGTTTCCAATTTAAACACTTCTCATTTTTGCAAGAAATATTATAATTTGTAAAAATAAACACGATTTTCATTGTATTTGTTAACTAAAATATACAATATTAATTTCTGATATCTAGGTATCGTTTGGTTTTATTTATATTTTTTTTTTTACTAAATATTAATTTTGAAAAATTTCGTTTTGGTAAATCTGTTTGGTTCTTTAACATTTTGCACGTTTTTCGCAGTGTTCAAGTGTGTGATTTAAAAACCAACTTAAAAGTTATTTAAAATACCCCACTTACAATTCCTTAAACTAAATTTAAAAAAATATAAATTATTTCTCGTGATAATGCTATCCATAGCCCTTTATGCGGCGAGTCAGCTGACGTGACCCACTTATTGAGCGCCCTGACCTAATCCCTACCAGTAGTGTTGTCGCCATCCCCAAGTGTTGTACCCCTTAGTCGTGTTGCTCCGCTGTTGATCTTTTGTTAGCGAAATATGACCTTAAATGTTTTTTTTTATCGTTTTATTGTTAACAACAAAACTATGTACGTTTGCAAATCATTAGATCTGAGCTGGTATTAAAACAAAATGCAAAACTGCAATTACGACTTCACCATGTCAGATATCGATAGGCAAATAATATTCGGTACAACATATCTTTTGTGAAGTTTTTAATAGTTAATTTTTATATATTCTTGTATAGTTCTAGATAAAAATTATTTGTTAAGTAATATTCATTCAATTTGTTTACAATTTAATTTATTCACATTAATTGTTGGTTCTAATATAGGTCAACAACAGCAAAGTAATGAGCAAGAGCTGGCTACCAAAATGCTTCAAATACAATCAAAACGTTTTTACTTAGATGTTAAACAAAATAGAAGAGGAAAGTTTATAAAAGTCGCTGAAGTAAGTATTATAAATATATATTATTAGTTATTCCAGTTAAAAATCATTGTGTTTGATATCAGTTTGAATTGAAAAGAGAGTAGTTTAAGGTGCCCCCCAAAAATGTGTTAAAATGTTAAAAATGTATGTTTTTTTTAATTACTAATTTTATTACTTCCTAGATTGGAGCTGATGGTAGAAGAAGTCAAATTTTTTTGGCTTTGTCCACCGCGGCCGATTTCAGAGATCATCTTGGTACTTTCAGCGAGTTTTATTCACAGTTAGGTAAATATTCATGAGCTTAATGTTAATTAGTGTAATAATGAATTCTTAATTGCTACTACCTAAACATTTTAGTTTGCTTCCATAAAGTAAAAAATGTGTTATTCAGATAAATATTTATTTTGTATGATTTTTGGAGGTTTTACATTTTGCCTAATTATTAATGATATTAGAAACTATATGCCTAAGTTAACATTAAAAATATGAACTAAATTGATTCAAGAACGATCCAAGATTATTTTTTATGAAATTATTGTTAGTGTGAATATAGTAAAATATTATTTCATATTTTTATCATCGTTTTTTTTTGACTTAATATTATAAAATTTAAATAGTTTGATTCTTTTGGGTATAACGGATGACGGGATAGAATAAAAAACTGTAAGCTTGGTTTGAGTTGATTGACTCAAATAATAATAGTATAATGTATATCATAATATATCTTAAATCTTCTTATTAACTATAAATAAACATATTTGTACAGGACCACCAAATCCAGATACCGTTCCTGAAGATGGAAAATTGAAGTCCGAAATGATGATCAAGGACAATCGTCGTTATTACTTAGATCTAAAGGAGAACGCCCGTGGAAGATTTCTTCGTGTAAGTGAATATTTTTGTTTTTCCGAGACTATTTACCAAATTTGAATGTATGTACGATGTATTTTGTTGTGTTACCCATATAGGTCTCCCAGACCATAACTCGTGGTGGCCCACGTTCTCAAGTTGCTATCCCAGCGCAGGGGATGATTGAGTTCCGTGATAATTTGACAGATCTATTAGATGAATTCGGTACAGACGATGGTGGCTTCAAAGGTGACTTGCCTGATGGTCGTCACATGAGGGTTGATAACAAAAATTTTTATTTTGATGTTGGCCAAAATAACCGTGGCATTTACATGCGCATATCGGAGGTAACAACTACGGCAAGTCTAAATTATTCTTCATTAAACCATCTAATATGTTTTTTAATTGAATTGTAAGCTAATTTTATTTTAAAATTTAGGTGAAAGGAAACTTTAGAACGGCAATCACTGTGCCAGAAAAGTCTTGGTCCCGCTTCCGCGATTATTTCAGGGACTATTGCGAAAAGATGGCTGAGTGCAACGAAAAAAGTACTACAGCAACTTCAGTGCCAGCTGAAAGTGTTAGTCCACAATAAACCTCCATGTATAAAAAGTTATAAAAAAAATATATAATTACATTTTTTTTTTCACACACACTCATACAAACAAATGAAATTTGAAAATTGTTTTAAATTAATTTAGCAGGTCTAACGAATAGTATAAAATGACAAGGTGGTGGGGATGATATTCAATTCGTCCTATAGGAATGTGAATTTACTAAGGCATCTGATTTATGTTCTAATTGCACATGAGTTTACCAACTGATTGTGCAATGTTAAAGTCTTTTCTAGCTTGTTGTTTAAGTGTTGTTCCATCTCATATTTTCTCCATTAGTGCAATATTTGTTGAACATTTTTTTTTAAATTTTAGTAACTACCAGATTGATGTTTTTGTTTTATATTTTATTATGAAAATTGTTGTTAAAATTTTATCCCAAAAGTTGACATTTATTTTGTTAAATATTTTTGTTTTAGCTTATTAATCATTCCAAAATTAATTCAGTTATATATATTTAGTTATCATTTGAGATTTTATAACAATTAATGATTACATTATCAATACTTTCGAGTTTCAACAGTTTATAATTTTATCAAATAACAACTATGCCTGTTACATATTATATTTTTTTTTTGCCTTATTATGTAGTGCTTAAAAAGTTATAGTGTCTCGAGAGTACAAAAATTAGAAAAATTTTCCATATAACAAAAAAATTCCAAAGGCAAAAACAATTAAATATATACAATTATATAATAACCAATATTATATGTATATAATATAAATGTTTTATTTTGTATTAGATATTCAAAGAAAATATTATTATGTGTTTATTAGGTTTAAAGAAAAAAAAACAATTTTATGTATGTCAGCTTTATGTGTACCTATTTTATTTACAGATCTTTTTTCTAGTCTATTAAAATTTAAAATATTTATTCTAACAAAAAAATTATAATTTAATGTTACTAATTAAGATTTTTTCACGTACTTAAAATTTTATTTTGGAAAAAAATTTCTAAGGAATTGTTAAAGTTTGTTGGGTGTGGATAGTGAGGAGAGGACATTGTCCTGAGTGGTCTGTGATTTTGAAAGTAGAACAATTGGAAATTATATATATTTTTCTCTGTTATGTTTGGTTCTTTATCATGTTGGGCACGCGTTACACATAAAAAATTGATATGCTCAAAGCGGTTATCTATTTTTTTTTTCAGTCAATTAGAAAAGATTTGTGGGAATGTTTAAGTTAAAGGATGCAAACACACTGCCATTCTTAATTTTCCCAAATTAAACAATTTCTTTTTAGTTATTACTTTGTTAACATTTCATATTATATTGCATAATCGTGGAAAAATCTAGCAAATTTTAAATTTATACTATGTTAAATAATTTAAAATATTTGTAAATTAAAAGTATTTATTAGATAACAAATTAAAAAATTACTTTTCCCACTTGAAGATTAATTGTATTTTAACTCACATGCAATAGTACCTTGATTATATTATATATTATATTCCTTGTTGATTGTTTTAGATTTTTTTTTTACTTATAAATATTTATTTTTCCGTTTGTACTTGTTTTGTACAAAATTTGTTACCAGAATATTATGATTTTGTATAAAACAAGTCACATTATCTGTGTCTGGAGCAAATAAACTAATTGTAACGTGAAAAGATATTTGGACTTGAACTTTTCATTGTACCAATTATTTCCTTTATCATAAAAAAAAAATAATAAGTTTTCTTGAATATCAATTTTGTCCTAATAATTGTTTACAGAGTAATTATTATTATTTTTTTTTTTTAATATAAGCTATTATTCTGTGAAACTATGTTTGAGTTTTTGGAAAATTTAACCACAAAATAAATATCCAATGTATTTATTTATCATTTAAATGTTTTAACCTCGATCCTTTTATTATATACCTATATATTATATAATTATAAACATTTTGTCGTAATTACCTATTAATATTATGTAAGAATATCATTATAGGCTATAGCTGTCGAGAGTATCTACTATGTGTCTACCTACACTGTAAAATGTTCATGCAGAACATATGGGAACCAAAATTGAGTTAGATAATTTTGACAAGATTCATTTTCAAATAACAATTGGTAACTGTCAATGGTCTAGACTAGAATATTTGATTGAAGGATGGCCATTCACAGACAACTGGTTTATGAACTCTGGTCCCAATATCTCGGAGAAATTCTTCGGGTATTGGTACCTACTGATACTACTATACCAGTATTAATATTCATATGGGTTAACCCATAATTTCCCAAAATTTAACAATGAGTAATTATTACAATAGATTGTAATTATTTTTTATTTTTTCAATCACTATCTTATCGGTAATTGGTAAATCAATAGTAATCAGTAATCATTAATACACTATTTTGTTAAGTTACGTTTGAAGACAGCTGGTATACCAGGTTCTAAAAAAGTTATCCATTAGTTAATAGGTCCACCTATATTAAAATCATCATTTTTCTTTAAACATCGAATTATGTGAAAATTTAACTTAAAATGTCTACGAAAAAAATCAAGTTTATACGGGGTAATTTTGAAATGCATAAGGTCACTATAGTAATTAGAAGGTAAGCATAGTACAGTTTCTATAGTAGTCACCGTGATGGCCCAATGAAGATGATTTTTTCTATCGTCAAAATCTGGGTTTATTCAAATTATTCTTAGAATATTATCTTAAATGTAAAAATTATAGTTATATTTTTTATACAAACCTCGACATCGTATCGGTTTTGCACTTATAGTGCGGTTTTAACGCTGAAGTCGTAGACTAAAAAAAAGTGGGACGACATCAATTTGTATGAGAACATTCAAAGATAAACAGTACAGATTGTTAGTTTTTTTGTCATTTAATATACATGATTAGTAAACAGTGTTATACCCTGTGGACTAATAAAAATATGAAAATATGAAATATAGACAAAATTAGAGTTAAGAGAGTTTTAAATGATCAAAAGTATTGTCATAGGTACCTTTAAATTTATAATTTAAGAATGTAGGTACTTATTTATACTCTAGAAAAATAAATGGGGCATCCAAATAAACAAATTAGGCGTTTAGTCAAAATATAAAAAAGAAATCTAAATATTAGTACAATCACAAAAGAAAAAAACATAAACCACTTTACAATGGTTAAAGTCTAGCTCTAAACCCAGACAACAAAATCAACACAATAGAAATCTTTAAAACAATCAAAATAATAAATTTAATATTGCTAAAAATATTTGCGGTGTACATAAATATGTAAAAACTGCAATTTTTTTCCTCCTCTTAATTATTATCAATTTTAATTAATGTAAATTCATCCTAATTGCCCAATGGCCTTGGTAGTCAACAAAAGAAAAAATCGTGCATAAATATCTTTAATATTTTCATCCATAAACGACCTGTTTTGTGAAACGAAAACTGAAAAGTAGTTTCAAACTTTCAACTGTTTCAAGTTTGGTATCTTTGTATTAAAAGTGTAAGAAATTAATATTTGGTGGGGATTACCGTCAACACCGTCTTTTCCATGCACCGATGAAATTCCTTCGAATCATCGCTAGCAGTGCAGCTAGCGGCAGCAACAGCTGATATCAGACGTTATAATTTCGGTTATTTTTTCCGCGATGTTCTGAATTTCCGATTCAAATTTCAAACTACATATCAATTATCAATCATGTTATGATTTATTCAATGTTCATTAATAAATAATATTATATTATAATATTACATGTATATCATGGTACAGTATTGTAACAGAATTTACTTTTAATTTTCAAAGTTTTACTAATTTAACTATCAATGTGTTGAATACTTGAATGTCGTTACCTTGTTGTTGTTAAATATTTAATTTAATCTGTATTACCAAACAATCTTATATTTAATTGTTGGATTTTTGAAATCCATCTTTTTATTAACGTTCGTGTACATTAATAGCTTTGAATTTTTAAAATGAATAAAGAAAGACGCGTCGGACGTCGTAGTGTGGTACAAAATCTTGTTAAACTTACTCCCGAATACGATAATGGTATGTATCTGGTATACTATTATTCTGTATCTTTCTCTTTTAAAAGTACTAAATTATATAAATTAATAATTATTGTATAAACTTTAATTAGCATATTATGTAAGATCTGTTTTATTCTTTTTAGCAAGTACCTGGTTGTTAAGTATTTTCATTAAAACTCTATCCTGGTAATCTGTGAAATTTTTAATCATAGTTAAACACCAATATCTCTTTAAAACATAGTATATTATATCTTTTATGCTCAATCATAATACCTAACATACCTATTTTGGCATAGTATTAATAAATTAATTGTTTTAAAAATATGTTGCTAAATAATATTATATAAATCCTGGGCATTCTTATCTTAGTTAAGTTAACAAATCTCTGAAAATTACTCTGCTACCTAATAAGTTATTACCTTCATAATTACTATGCTGATGGCTTCACTCTCAGCTATAATAATTACATAATATTTATAGGTTATACTTGATTTATGTCATCAGAGGTTTTGAATAATGCTCAATATTAATTGGGATTTGGGGTATTTATTGATTTCATGATACTTTTAAAGCATAGATTCTTAACCTTTTCTGGACCATGGAGCCCTTTGAAATATAAAATATAATAACGGACCCCCCCAAAAAAAAAATATTTATTTAATAATAATACTGAGACTTAATACAACATTAAATTATTGTGATTAATCACTTTTTATAATGATTGAAAAAAAATTTTAATGTGACATTTGCTATTTATTGATTGCAATATTGCCTTGAAATTTGAGACCGTATTGGACAGAGCAATTCGCATATCATCCTTAATGTCCAATCGATTTCTTGCTTTAGTTTTAATTGTGACTATTGTAGAAAACCCACACACTCACAGAACTGTGTAGTAGCGAATATAATCAGAGCTCGTGGGTAACCCAACCTAACCTAAAGAACACCAAAATGCGATTACATTTTTTGTTTGAAAACCGGGGTGTGCCATTTCTTTTGATCTCGAATCAATTAATTCATATTTAACAAGGTCTGAATCATTAATATTGCATTTAAGTAGACTAGAAAAGAACTGTGAGTAACCATATTTCTGCTTTTGAGTATGTAAAACCCAAATACATTTTCAAGTACATTAAGATTTGTACAAATTTGTGTTTTTATGGAACTGGATAAAGCAATATTATTTTTTAAAAGCTCATGTTGGAAATTCTGCTAAATTTTCTGATTGAAGTCTTCTTTTCCTAAGAAAAATTATATTTACAAATGCGTTTATTTTTTCGAACTATATGGAAGCATGTCACTGCTTGTCCTTGAATTAATATACAACTTATCTTTACTATGATATATAATAAATGTACAGTTTCGACTTATAGGTTCATCAAATAATGTTATGCATTAATTTCAAACAAATTTATTTTTGGGTTATTTAAAAAAAAACTCACAGTCGACCCGTGGATCCCCGAGTAACCATCTATGGACCCCCCCCTCACCCGTTAAGAAGTAAGAACCTATGTCTTAAAGGTAATTAATGATTTAAAATTTTAAAAATAATGAATTTAATGAAACAAAATGTGGATACCAGCCTGTTATTTTAGAAAGGAAACTTGATTTACTTCTTGATTAACAAAATAAAAATAAAGTTAAGGAATATTATGTAAAATAATTAAACTTTTTTATTTGTATTTTTAGAAGAAAAGGTGTCAATAGGACCAAAAAAGGCCCTGTTTGATGACGATACATTTGTTATGAAACGTACATTAAAGCCTTTACATGAGGTATATGCAAATATTTACTTACTGTATAAAATTAGCAATAATCAATGTATTTCTATTTATTTTCAGATCAACAATTTTCAGTTTTCTTCATCAAAATCTAAAAGTCATGATAAACTTTATACAGAAAATACTTTTGACATACCGAAATCTACATACATGGAAATGTTTAATAACCATAACAAAATTCCATTATCTCCACCTAGTAGAATCAAGCTTCTTGAATCAACAATGGGGAAATCTCGCCAAAAGCCGTGTGAACCTGTATTACAATCAAAAGAACTTTTTAACACTCTTATTGACTCACCTTGTACTAAGTATGAAAAAGTACAGTTCAACAATGCATTATCATCTGCGTCTAAGTATTTATTAAACCGCCACTTAGAATCTGTCCAACAAAATGCTGACATATTTAATGCCTCAATACCTGATGTAAATTTTTCTCCTGTTAATGAAAATCAATTTAATAAATTCAAAACTCCTAGTTTAATAGATCTAAGTATTACTCCGACGCCAGACATAGGTCAGTCTCAAAGCCAAACTCAAATATCAAATTTACCTTTGTCAGTTGGAGTAACAAAAAACAAAAGAATTGATGATATTTGTCAAACTCAAACATCAAATATGCCTCTATTAACGGAAGAAGTTGAAGAATTGAAAAACAAAGATATTGATGACATTCGTCAAACTCAAACACCAAATGTGTCTTTATTAATTGAAGATATTGAAGAACTGAAAAAAAAAGAAGTTGACGATATTCGCCAAACTAAATCACAATGTTGTAACTTAATGAAGACCCGGTTCAAAGAAATTGAACTAGAAATTGAAAAACTTTTTGGTATTATGGAAAATAAAGTTAATGAAAACTATGATAAACTGATAAAAAAAGTTCAGGATGGAAACAATGACAGTGTTGAATCGCAGACTTCAAACATTACTACAGAAACAGTGAAGGAAAAAAATTATACTAGAATGACTGGCGCTTTTGGAATTTTCAACAATTTAAATAAAGATTGTAGTTTTTTGAAAACTCCTAAGACTAAAGGCAAAACCCGAGAAGAAATGTTAAATAGAGGGGTTTTGACACCATGTACAATGTCATTCGTTTTACAAGAACAATTAATGCACTTGAATAGTAGTTCTTAAGGTAATAGATAAAATATATTTTTATAAGCACATATTTTTACCATTGATTTTACATTAATACTTGCTACTTGCTATTAACATTTTGTATTTTAATTTTTACCTGAGATAATTAGTAGGTTTATTGTAATTTCAATCCAGAGTTTTCTATTTATTTGTTAAGACTTACTGCATAAATAGTACAAGTAGGTTATTTTTGGAAATGATATATTTTGGTTCATTTTTCTTTAAATACAGTACATTTAGTAGTTAACATATGTATAAAAAACTTTCAATATTGCTGATGCAACTGATCAATCAAATCATTTTCATCATGACACTAAGTTTTATACACCACATTTAAATGATACATATCAAATTATATATGCTTATGTTCAATTTTGCCAGTTCTGAAATAAATAAAAAAGTTTCCTTTCTTTTTTACGGTAATGAAATTAATCATATTCCAATAAGCTATATACATCCAACATACACCAAATGAAATTCTAGCTTTTCATACATTTGTACATCTCTTTAATGCAAATTACATTGTACTGTTGTCTGTATACATTATTTTTATTCAAATATCAAACTTTCTAAGTATTAACACTATCTAATTTAATATTAAAGAGTAATCTTTATTTCAAACAAATATAGCTAACTATGTCGTTCAACTATTTTGTTTTCCCTATTATCATAGATCACTACTTCATTATTATAATTTCTTAAAAATTATGTCATATGGTTTATCTATAAATATTATCTAAGAAGTTATTCGGTTAAAAACAATATGATTAGATGGTATTTTCAAATATAAGTAAAAATAATAATAATTTAATATTGTCTAGAAATTCAAAATGCAGAACTATTATGAATGAAGAGTAAATTGTAAACCTAACCTACTTTGTATGCTCTTAACATAAGTGTATGTATATAATATTTATTATTTTTAATTTACATTTAATTTAATTTTTATATTATGTTTTTTTTATGTTTCAGCATTTGACCTGTGAATAATCCAAAAGATAACACTAATAATTTTTAAAGAACTTAATTTGTAAGTCTTCATTATATATTCTGACGTTTAATTATTTGTATTCGACAATTCGAATATTAAATATATTTTTATTTTTTAATGCGAATAATAAACATTTATTTACTGTACTTAATATTATAATAAACATATATTTTTTTTATTATTATTATTATTTACATTTTATTTATAATATAGTAGTTATGATAATTGCAATATTTTAGTGTTAAATACATTTTTTAGTTGATAATTCCAACTTGTACATCTATGAATATACCAAACATTGCTTTTACTTTCTTATATATTTGACGAGTAACACTTATATTAACTATTGTCTGTTATATATATTTAACTGAACACTTAATACTAAAGAACATTTCTTTATTTACTAATTCTAATTAAATAAAGATGGATTATTCTTCAATAATGCTAAAGCAGCACCAAAAGCAGAATCTTCTGACATTGTTACACTCAGTGGAAGATTAAAAATGGTTTCAATCTCTTTTTTTATTATATGGTTTTTAGTTATAACTGATCCTGAACCTATGATTCTTTGAATTCCAGCTTTCAATAACATTTCTCGCGACATCATTCTAAAATAAAATAAATTAAAATGTTATATGTTTATGTTATTATTGCATTGCTTTGAGATAATTTAATAAACATACTTGAGTAAATTATTAATGATTCCTTTGCAAAAACCTGAAAACAATGCTGATAATGTGAGGTTATTATTTGTAACGTTTATTAATGATCCATAAGTTGTTGGATCATGCCTTTCACCAAAAATTAAAGGGTTTACTATAAGAGGTGTCAAATGTTCTTCAGGTGATAAATGCAACAATCGATTCCATAATTCATCTGAAAAAATTGATACATAATTGACATTTCAATCAAATACTCTATTATTTAGTAACTAAAGAATATTTATTTATTTATTAATAGCAAAGCTTAAAAATTAAGGCTGTTAAGTGGTTTTTTTATTTTCTGTCATCATAACTGTCACATTATGATGAAATTATTGTGACATGTGAGGTTGATTACTTTGATTAATGGAATGCTATTTAGTATTGATACACAATCATAAAACATGTGTTCATATTATTAATTACCTTCAGCTATAGTCAATCCAAGAGCAGATATCCAGCTAGACACAGATTTAACAAAAGAGTCTAAAACATTTCCACCATTCAAAGAAGCTGCTACTGCCAAGAAGTGATTCTCAAAATATGGAAAATATTCAACACCATCTTATCCAACAATATAAAATTATACAACAAACTATAATAAGAATTATTCTAAATATTATTAGTCTTAAATTTTACCACATTGAGTCTCAATTTCTTTAGCTATAAATGCAACTTGAGCAGATGTTGAGATGTTAATAACAGCATCTGTCATAGTTGTTAATGTAGCTATTACTGAACATTGCAAATCACCAAGAGCAACACCTTATTGAAAATTCAATTAAAAACAAGTTATGTAATTTAAAAAAATGTTATTATCATTTACCAATTACTGCGCCTTTTGGTATATGATAAATTGTTTCATATAATGTTCCAATATTTATTCCAGGCTGTACGACTGATGGTAACAGATGAACTGGGAAATTTGCTTCCATTAAAATATCTGTATTCCAAGAACAGTCGGTTACATCAAAATATCCCCAACTTGCCGCATTGTGAGTAGACATGACTGGTTTTCCTTGATTGCAAAGTATTGATACAATTAAATCTTGAATTGTACCACATTGATTAAAATTTCTCAATATATCTGGTCTAAAATGATATTTTATAAAATCATTTTTATTTTATTTTTAAGTGTTCAATCATTTGTTGCACCTATAATGCTTACTGATTTTCTTTTAGCCAAAAAATGGTATTACATCCATAACCTGAGTATGACTTTAAATGAGAATGAGGTTTCGGCAGTTTAGCCAAAAATTGGTGATCAGTACGTGCATCTTGCCATGTGTATAAATTAGATACAAATATATCTGTTTTGTTTGTGAACTCACTATCCCAAAATGTGTGTACAAATTGTTCATCCCAGAATACTATTCCATGCATTTGACCACAAATACCAATTGCTTTTACCTTATTACCAGGATCAGATATTTGGTCAAATTGTTATCTATATTATAGATAATTATTCAAATAAAGAAGTATATGTTGTGCTTTTTTTTATTATTTGTAGGTATTAAAATTCTACACATAAATTGTAGCTAAAATTAATAAATTATTAGGTAAGTATTTATTTTACATATTGAGACATTGAGTAATTGATATTTGCTAAGATTTTATGATATGAGTATTTTTAATCATCAGTAAATTTATATTTATGTTTATATTTAAAAAAGGTGCACTATAGGTGGGTACCGCCCTACTGTGCTCCGAACCTACAGTAGTTGTCGAGAATATCATTGTAATGGATGTGTTATTCTTGAAATCAATGATAAATCATTACACACGAAAAACGATTCTGAGCGGAGACGTTTTCTAATCCTACCATACTTGTTAAAATAATTAAGTTTAATAGTTCAAAAAAAAATACTTAATACAAATTGATCAGAGAACATGCTGTGTCTAGAATCGGAGCATTTTTTTACTATTCCAAATGTCGATTACAACAGAAAAAAACATACATTTTTATAAAATCAATACATTAATTTGCTACGCTCAGAATCTAAAAAAAATAATTTATTTTAATATTTTATTAAAATTAAAATTGAATTTGAATAGGTAACTAAAAGTTTTAAAAATTGATAACTATGGCCAACATTTATTTGAATACATAATACTATTATAGTATAATAACCGTTACCTAACCAAAATAGGTTGGTACCTATAACCTGAGCGTGACCTTAAAAGTACTAACAATAACTAGTAATGTAGCTATAACTTATGTTATAATACAACCTAATACATTTTGAAGTACCCATGTCCAAAACATTTTATGAGCCACTTATTAAAACTTTTTGTAAAGAGAATACTTCAAAGAAAAATGTAAAACTTAAATGAGTTGTACATAATTTGGACTTCAAAATTCAGTTGTTAAAAAAGTGAAAAGGGCCAAGTTTTTAGCTTAGATACAATTAGTGTTAGTTCCAAGGGCTGGGGATGTCAACCACGATGTACCTATAATCTACATCATACTTATTCTATTGACTATCATAAGGTTTTCGATAGAGACATAGAGTTAAACATGATGAGCTTGTAAAATACTGCAGGAAGTGATTAGAATTGACGGTCAGGATCTGCGAATAATAATACAAGCAACTTTTACTGGACTATGGTACAGGTACACGTAGAAGTAGAAATATCAGAAGATATTCCAATAAAACGAGGGATGAGACATGGATCCATCCTGTCACCACTTCTGTTTAATTCTATCCAGAATTCATTTTTCGAGAAGCTTTGGGAGAAGTCAACGAAGCCTCGAAGGTACAAACGCTAATTGTGAATGTACCTATCTATTGATAATATGAGAATGAGATACGCCGATGGGCGATGATACATCGCAAATAATATGTGAAGCCTTCAAACAATTGTAAATAATATACCTACTACATGTAAGCGAGAGTTTTGGACTGTCTCTTAATATAAACAAAACCAAATGTACATGGCAATTTCCAAAAAACAAACTGTAATAGAACAGTTATTTATTAGGGGACAGGTGGACAGCAAATAGAAATTAAACGTCATTTCAAAAAATGTTTAAGATATTTAAATATCATGATTGTTCACATGGTATAGGTACTAAGATTAGATTACTAAGATGTTACATCTATGATCCAAATGTGAAATGATCCAATAGATCAGAAACAGAAACATTAAGCTAGAAGATTGAGGCAATATAAATGTAGTTGTATCGTCAAATCCTGAATATTCCATGGATTGTCTGTGTATTTACCCAAAGCGTGATTACTTCATAGAATGCAAAAACAAAAAGAATTACTGATGACTATAAAATCACGAAAATAAACTATCCTAACCTAGTAGTCTTTATACCTACCTAGTATCTTGGTGGTTGGGTCACAGAATGACTAATGAGAAATAATAAAATATATGGATTGTTACAACTCATACCTACTCCAAGAAAAAAATAAGGTAGGTATGAAAACTAGCTATTGGAAGACACAGAATATCGTGGTTGAAAACTCCACTACCTACCGGTTTTGCGCAAGAAATAAATTATTTCGTTCATCGTTAAAGAGAGAAGCGATTCCAATATAAAATATGATTTCCAATATTTGAAATGGATAGAAACTTCAAGAAGAAGTATATTAATAGGTATATTTAATTTTTAATTAAAATTGTTTCAAAATAAAAAATAAATTAGCCAACGATCTTGTATTAAATGAATCTACAAAGCAAGATATAAGGTATTCGAGATGATCTACAAAATACATTTTGTTATCTGCTCATTATTCTTATTTCTTAATTCTGAGTAGATTATGGATCGATGTATTTTACAGTGATGACTGATGAGTGTTTTTTTTTCATCTGCCATCACTTTTCGTAGCAGTAGAATAAACGTAGTCCCAAGTTCCTACTCCTTAGTAGGTGGTACATAAATAGGTACTTATCAAAATAAATGAATACGAAAGAAAACTGTAATTTCTAAGCAAACTGCAGTTTTTGAAAAAAATTATTTCGTTTTTTTTAGTCTTCCTGCTTCAAAAATAAATAACTATGGAGATTCGACATTTTTACAGAATGTTTATATTAACATTAATAGACGTGAAATAATTCTTATACAATTTTGGCTCTTTTTGTGATCTAACCTTTTTTAAATTTTCGATTTATGAATCCCACAATTTTTGTTCTTGGGTTAAAATGCTTGAACATTTAATAAAAATTTTCACAGTGGCATAGCCACAATCAATTACTGTAATACTAGTACATCTCTACTCCCCTCATCTAAACTTTAAATGTTTATAACTAACAAACTACATCTCTCAAATTTGATCTTTGTACATTAAAATACTCCGAATAATATTCTGTTTCGGAATATGAAATAAATAATAAAAATAATGTATGGGTGACTCATGGAAAAATATATTTTTAGAAATGTTATAAAACTATGAGCAAAAAAATATTTTCAACTTTTTGAAATAATTAGTGTAGACACTTAAATGAATCACTCTGTATAATATATAGTTCAGATTTTGATTTAAATATAGTTACCTTTTTCATTATTTCTCCTGGTGACTTTAGGCATTCTTGCATTGCTTTCAAAATTTTGACAACATCTTGCTCGTCACCTTTTTGATGACTAGGATTAATTTTTGCTAAGGTCGGGACCGATTTAACATAAATAGATTTTGAAGTACAGCTGTCTAAAAGTGAAATTTTTACTGAACTCGTTCCTATGTCTATTCCTAGTATTAATTTTTCAAAATCCATAATGCAGCAGTAAATGATTATCAATTTAATATTTGTGTGCAATAAATATTAGTTTTTAACCCGATACTAATCTTATTAATAACAAAAAATATAAATTCAAGAACCTACCATACGAGTATGCACGATAATTCTTCGTACGTCGAAAACTATACTATAACTGGTTACTCATTAGTTAGTTTTTTTGTATGTAATACAGTCTATAGTACGAACTGCAATATCACCATATCATTAGGTAGGTATTAAATATTCTTAGGTCAGACTGGATTGAGGTCATATTAATTTAGGTATATGTAAACATGTCCTTATCGAACTATTATTATTTTTGTTTATATTTTAGCTTTATGGTAGGTACCTACTTGTACAGTTGTACAAGTGTTGAAGTGTACAACTCATAATATTGTTTAAATCAGATAAGCGCTCGGGGGAAATTGTACAACGTATACAAAAAAGCAAAATCTAATTGTTAATAAAAAAATAGGCAGTCGTAGTAATTGCTTGTTTTATATTATTCCATGAGGTATGAACCTGTTTTATGGATACCAGGCAGACTGGTATAGTTGGTCAGTAGGTATACAACTTTAAACTGGGTAAAATATTTAAATATTATTACAGTTATATAATTTATAAGTTATAGGTAGGTAAAGATTAAAGAACCAGCCTTAAGGTGGAGAAATATTTTTTAGAAGAAACCTCAGAATAGAACATTTTATAACGCGAGGACCAAAATGTCATACAAATCCTCCCATGGCAGGGAAGGTATAAGTCATAAACTGTTAAGTATAAAAAGTATTAAATCAAGTATAAAAACACTTGAAACTATGAAATTTAAAAAATCCAGCTGTATAATATATGTCCGATGGTCGTAATGTTTTGCAATTTTCAATTAATCGAATTATTCAAATTAATTTATCACTGCGAAAAGACAGTATACATTAAAATAAGGCCAGGATCAGGATATGACCAGGAATCAGGATTTTAATGTCAATTAACACGATAAATAATACAAAGGATGTTAAACCCGCATGTGTTGTCTCCGACTTATACACGCACGAATTTTCGTTAGCCAGTTTCAATAGCGTGCTGTTAGTTTTGATATTGAAGTGAATTTATCTATTATACAATTTAAAGGTACGATTATTATTAGCCTTTTAACAGTATTATTATTTTTAAGTAAGTTATGATAATTTTAAAATATACAGTTGACGGTTGTCTATTAGTGATTTAAAAATATTGTTAAGATAACAGAATATTTGTTTTATACTAATTAAAAAGAGACTGTGACGAAGAGGAAATTATAAGATGCCGCCCCCTCCCCATAAATAATCCGAGTTGCCGATACCCTAGCACCTACGTAAAATAAAAAAACCAAGTCCCCTGATTAAGATTTTTCAAACTAAAATTGATTAGAAACTTCTTGATCATTCCTAAATCAATTTCATAATAATAATGACAACAATTGAACTATAAAATAATTAGAAAATTTTTATTTGAAAAACAATTAATCTTTGCTATTGAAAAAAATCTAGTTTTTTTTAGCTTAAGAGTAGATATACAATTTTAGTTTTCAAAACTACATTCATATAAATAATATTTGATAATTTATATTGATGCAACTTGTTAAACTTGATCTATATTATAAGCTACGGAAAACTTATAAAAAAATAATAAGTGTAGCTTATATCTGAATTGAATATTAAGGATACAAACTAAAGCAAATCGATATTTTAAATTACCCAACATAAATTATTATTTTTTGTTTAAATTGAGTGGAGTTAGTAATGTCGAATTTAAAATAATATACTAGTAGTTTAAAGTCAGAACATTTTACCAAAAAATTGTACCTAATAGCTTAATATTATTATTTATAGTATAATTTATAAGTAGTTTAACCAGCAGCTGAGAACTTAAAGTATATAAAAATAATTAAATGGTAACGAAGTTGTTAAACAACTTTTCCATTTATTTTCTGAAACTAAATTGAAATTTAGATTTTTCAAAAAAAATATAAATAAATAAACCAAACAAAATATCATTTTTCATTATCACTAAAAAAAAGAATTATAAGTAATTACTAAATTAAATTGATTGATTTTATAGTATGTTTGTTCAAAAATCAACTAGTAAAACTAGTTAATAGTAAAAATAAACCAACTTTTTAGGTAGACTTTGAATTTTTTCATGACATGTACTTTTTAAATATTAACACTAACTATAATAAATTAATAACATTAGTTTACAGTGTAAATACATCATAAAAGCAATTCAATTAAAATTATTTTGTAGGTATACAATAAAAAATAAAAAAAAGTAAATATACAAATATCTATATCAATATTTATCTATATAACATATATCTATGTAGGTAAGTATATTGTATAGATACCATAATATGTATTGCTGTATAATTGGTACTTGGTAAATATAGGTGGGTTTGTACTACAAAGTATAAATTATTATTGTTGTCTTGTTAAGCTCAATTTTTAACAAGCAATTCAATTGAGATAAATAAAAAAATACCCTTGACTTATTTACTAACGACACACAGTTCATCAGTATGGTATGTATAAATCTGGGAAATGACTTAACAGACAAATAGATTCTTTGGGATAAGATAAAGCTAATTTTTTTACTTCATCATTTAAATCATGTTCTGTAACTAGGGTTGCATTTTTGTTCTTAATGTCCCTTAAGGTTAATATACTTCTACATTTGTTAGGATAGATATTAACGACATCGACATTATTGTTCTTGCAATGTGAGCTGACACTATTCACAAAGTGGTTCAAGAACTCCATAAATTTATTGGTAAAGTTTAACTTAATGAGCAATTCGTTAAATATACTTGAGCATGTTTGGAAGACCAAAGGTGATTTAGAGCACACTTCAATTAGGTTATTGATTTCCCACAACGATATTGCAGACAAAATAGTTTTTTCAAAAATTAAAGGATTCACTTTAATGGTTTTTTCGTGAATAATTATGGGCAATTTTAATACATTTGATCCTAATTGAGTCCAAACAGTCATTAAAATTGAATTCAATGACTTGTTGTTTTTGTTTAAGATAGATTCTATGTATCTAGCATATATATCTAAGTCTGCCCCTTCATCAAGTATTGATTTCAATTTGATCATGTGGTCAGCTTCTATTACATCAAAATTAATGGAATACAAAAATGCTTGAATGTTGGACTGTGTACTGAGGGTACTGTCGGGGATAAAGTTTGATGAAGTGTACAATAAAGTTTTCAAAATCATCTGAAATCAAAAAAAAAAAGTAATTATAAATCAAAAGTTTGATCTAGGTATAACAAATTATATCAATATTAATTTGGTTGAATGACACTTTAAATCTCATTTGATTAAATACCAAATTAAATATCGGAAGTGTTTTAAAATAATGACTTACCAAACATTTTCCAAAAATCTCGTCCGTATCTAAATTTTTATTTTCCAAATGTTCCAAAAAAGTAGATAAACGATCCTTATTTATTTTTCTAAAATTTGATATTTCCATCATGATAGCACAGATTATATGAAATTATATTATATTATTTTCATACCATTAGTGATAATAGCTTACAAATTTCTTAGTAGGTACCGCAATACTTGCAAAAAAAAATTCAAATAATATGATCTTGATATTTAATGAATTATTGCAATATATTTTCAAACTTTTTAACTACTATTTAAAATTTTAATTTTTAATTAATGATCACGATTCATGAGGACATGAATCAAGGTTCACGAATAACAAAGAACTGAAAGAACTAGCTGCTAGTTGCTACTAACATTATTTACCATTTAACATTCTAAATTTCTAAACAGCATTTATAACGATTTACGATTTAAGCATGATAATAATTGATAAATATTATCGGATCACTGCAGCTAATTCCGGGCTCCACACGCGCATGCGTATACATTAAACTACTATCAAAATACCTTATCAATTATTAATACAAGAGATTATAAGCACGACTTGTCTAAAAACCGTTTTATTCTAAGACCGTGCTAAAAACTGTCCGAGGGATACCCGATAATTTAAATTGAACCACTTTTTATCTTACTAGTAATTTTTAATTAGTATAATATGTGTAATTTTGTAAAAATAGTATTAGGTCATTACTAAGTCTTATTATTAATATGAAATTATTTACGATGGCATTGATTATGAAATATTTGACATTTTCTCTGATGAAGAAGTTTAATAAGGATTAAAAGTTTATTTTTTAAAATTTTTTTTTATTTATTTAAGGGTTCATATGCATAATTTATTAGCCTACAACGATTTACAAAATTAGGTTATATTTTTTATTTTTTTATGATATGTTTGATTGTGCTTGTGTGAAGTATTGTTGATCCATTGTTTTAAATGTTCGATGTAAGATCGGCTATCTTGATGAAGTCTAATATCCATTTTTATTCTCCGTAGTTGAATGCTTCTTTGAGTGAGATTGTGTTTAAGTTTGATTTCGTTCGGGCGTTCTGGTAGTTGGGGCGCTCTAAGAATATATGTTTGACGGTGAGTTTTTGGTGAGTCACGTTCATACCTTGGTTCAGGATCCTTACACATGATGTGAGAATGTGTGAGTCTGGTGTGCCCAATGCGTACTCGGGTAATCATGATCTAAAAGTTTATTTTGATTGACCAACATACTCACATGTTTACGCAAAAGATCATTGATTGGAGGTTTGGATGTAGTTAAAGAATTCAAAGAAGGCTGAGAGTTAATTTCTACTAATAAAGGAGAAGTATATTTTGGTCACTTTTTTTTCAATTGATTATTTGATTGATATAGTTTAACTTAATTTGGCATAGTAATATCAAAATCATCAAAACTGCAGCCCTAAGGAGAATATTGTACTAGTATTTAAAATATTTACAAAATTATATGATGAGTATTTACTATTAATTAAGTTATTTAATGCCAAATTTGATACATTTATTTATTATCAAATAATATTAGTTAACAATATATTTTTTTATTTAACCCAGTTTTGATATGCGTGTTACTCATCAGTCATCAGCCATTAATTGTTTTAGTAGATTTTCACCTACACTTTTTCCTGAACAAATATTTACAGAAAATATTATAATACGAATATTTTTGTAAGATCAATATATTCCTTTATTGTTTTCAAAGGTAACAAACGTCTAAAAGAAGATCAATATTACACATCTATATTTAAATTTTTTTTAAAGTAAGTATGTACTATTTATTTATTTATTTATTAATTTTAATATAACTATTATGTAGTTTTTGCTACTCATTTGTAAAAAGTAATCCCATAGGAGATTTAGTGAATTTATAAAAAAGCTGGGCATAGGCAAGCGGGGACAATGATCAATATTAATTAATTATTATAATAGTGTATACTTTTTTATAATATATTATTATTGACTATTGTTATCAACTTTTGAGTCAATACCACCTTACCATAGAACTGCAGTGGTGAGAATGGGTTCATTTTAAATATTTGTGTATCATTGCGTATAGGAAGAAAATGTATAACAAACGAAAAATTGTTTTGTCCTTAGTCCCTACCAATAATGTTGAATTTGGATTTAATGAAAAATTATTAAATACGATAAAAGCGATTTAGAGCGGATAAATATGTATATTATTGATACTTAAAAAAAAAATGTTCTATGATTAAGTGTTATACAATTTTGGTTGCAGTACTGTTTATTTCATACATTCATTATATTATATACATATTAAGTTAAACAATTGTTATATAGTAAAGTTTTAACCAAAACGTCTACATTAAGTAAATATATATATATAATGGACGACGCAATATCCGTTTACAGTTACGTGCGTAGGATGATATGCAGAAGAAATCTGGCTCTGAAGATATACAAATATACAATTAATGTACTTCGTACTTTTACTCGTATTCAGGTGAATCATAATATATAAAATAATCATAGTTGATCTTAAATAAAAATTATTACAAACATTTGGGCACTCAAATACTATAAGGAAGGCATATTATACCAATATATCATACTGCTGTAATTAATTATTTCCAAATGCAATGCAATTATTACAAATTAATCGTAATGCAAGGACTCAATATTTGAAACAAACCAATAACCATCTTTTTTATGAATACTATTCGTTTTAATCGATGGATGTCGCCTTTTAAACGTAGGCGTATATACAGTGGCTGGAGCCACTACCGTGTACTAGCTGTGCGCCTTAGCCTTCAAAAAATGTCAGGATAAAAATATCAGTGTATCAGAAATCAGAATGTAGACATAATACATTTATATAGTTTACATTTTATATATTATGTAAATATGTAATGTTAATATTATATTACAAATTACAATAATTTATTGCACAAGTTTCCTCACCACCTTAGCACATTAAATGAAAATCGATATTATATCAAAATTCTTAATGTTGCATGAGGTATTGTACGTGGCGCGTTTTTTTTATCGTGGTTTCCCCAAGTTTAAACTTTAGGCCTAGGTCCACGCTGAGGAGAATGGTCGAACTGTCGGACATTTATAATAAGGGGAGTGGTTACGATTGTAACTTGTATAAATTATATAGTGTGTATTCTAAGCTAAATTGACTGATAATTGTTCTATAATTGAACTTTGATTTAATAAAATATAAATATCCCTCTTCTGATCGACAATTTCCCATTACCCTCATTGCCAGTGTTGAATTCAAGACGTGTTAAATATTATCCGTAGTCCGAAAAAACGGGAATATTGCCGTAACTGGCATTAATACAAAATACAAATTTATAAAAAAAATGTAATTTACCTCACAAATAAAATATGTATGTATATTTTTACTTTTTTCCATATACACCTCGAATTGTAGGGTGATTGGCGTTTCTGAAATACATTAAGTTTTAAAGATTTATACTGCATATTTTAAGTATTAATATATATTTTATTTGCGGAGAAAATTAAATTTTTTTATACCGTTGGGTAATCCCGTCCATATCGATGTATATTTATATTTATGTCTACTAAACTCAACACTGTCTACATATACTTAAAAAGTGAAAATAAAATATAAAATATATGGTATATATACATGTATACGTAACCAAAATTAAAATACCTTATAGCTAATATTAAAGCTAATAATTGTAAATAAGTATAATATTATTATTATAGTTTCTAAAATAACATTGATAAACTAAACTTACCTTTAATTTAGTATACTATTACCATTCTCATTTTAATATATGTTTAAAAAAAGGAAACATTTTTTTTTCAAGTATCATTTATTAATCCATTGTACATCCATGATTCAATTAAAATATTGTTTGTTTTTCTTGAATATAATAGCAAGAATGATGCGTATAAATGGGAAAATAATGTGTTTTATCACTTTGTATCCTTGTAAAATCATTATCTGAAAATAAACTTTGGCAATTATAGTAAAGAGATTAAAAATTTAAATTCATTTTCGTAAAACAAAACTAATAAAAAACAGATAGTAAACTAAAAATGAAAAAAATTGACAGTTAAATAATATAAAAAAAAAAAAAAATAATAGAACTCGTTCGTTTGAATTCAAATAACTGATTGACTGTAGTCTGTTGATATAAATTATAAAATAAACAAACTATTATATTAATATATTATGGTATGTTAGTTGTAGCCAACGAAGTTTTATTATTTCACTAGTATTTTTTTATGCTGTTCAGTATTTCAAATTTCAATTATAAATTTATGTTAACGCGGCGCATTAGATATGCAATTCAGGTACATCATCACCGCGTACGGCGGCTTTGTCCATAATACTACTTTCGGATGTCTAGGATTACATGAATATCCCCCCCCCCCATTCAGTTAGTAAAAGACGGTAAGCAATAATGCAGTAGATTTTTTTTACATTAATATACCCCGTTGAATATAATAAGAACTTGGTGTTGACATCGACTAATATATTTTTATATGCGTATAAAAAGTAACAGTGAGAACTGACGCAAGCACATATTGTATATTTTAAATTTTTTTATCATCAGCCCCTCATTGTAAAAAAAATAAGCAACGGGGGACATAAATAATTATTAATAACAGTATTTGTCATGAATTCGTGGTATTTGTGTTGAGGTATTACGATTTTCTCCCACCTGTGCCCAGCCAAACACCAATGTCAGACTTGAAGCAATTGGTTCAAATAACCCTATATCCCGCCGCCACTGTCATACAAGTAATATTTGTTAAATCATTAATTGAGATATATATAATTTGAATATTTAATTAAATTGTAAAGTAAAATAGGTATATAATAATATAATAAAAAAAGTAGTACATAATACTATGCATTACGATAAAGTTAAGGCCCACGCACAGTTTAATATAATATCCAGTAGGTAACAAAGGTAATCCATAAAGTAATTTTTTTCTGTTTCAGGTATAACTTAGTTTCAATAATAATATACATTTAGTCAATGGACATTATGTAACAATTATCCGACGACGAATGAATCGATGGGAATGACACGATGATCTGCAACCAACTGTTTTGAAAATAGATCATTGTCCCGACTCAATAAACCCTCACATAATAATGTACACAAAAATATAATTGTAAATTTTTTTCAATGCGTTCTTCTGCGCATACATTTATACTTTTTTATACTATTATTTTAATTATGTAATCACGAAAATAAATTTTAATGTTGGCTTCTATAAAAATGCAGTATCATAATAATATGTATTTATGCAGCAAGTATAAACTTATTTTTTAAGTAAACATAACGGATGAATATAGCCACGCTGGTTAATAGGTATACCTATAGAGGACATTTTTTTGTTAATAACTGCCTCGGCGATTAGATCTATTGGCTAAGAGGTAATTTTATGGTACCTATTATACTTATTT